GAGCGCTTGAGCAACGCACACATAGACACCGCTCAAGGAGACGATATCTCGGACCGGCTCGGATCTCAGGGAGCGCGAGTTTCATTCGCTTAAGATTTATTGTGCATAACTTTAGCAGCAAAAATATGAGGAGGCAACCTTGCCTATATATATAGCTATATATGAAGAGTTGAGCGTCTGGGATAGAAAAAAATTTTTAAGAAACAGCCATGACTTTTGGTCGAGTCTAAATCGTCAGTCTTATGAATAGGAGATACTGGAGTGTTCACGTTTAATTTTGATATAAGTAGAAGTATTTAATTCTTTCTGTTTAAGATGAGGCACTCAGTTATCCTACCTACATAAATTAATTAATTTTCAAATAACATACCGCTTGTCACTTTTCCCATTTATATCTGCCTATTCAAAGTTCATTCATTCATTCTAATCTATTGCACCTATTGTCGTAAAGACTAATTATATCTTTCTTATTAAAATTAATACTTTTTACAAGATTCAATATTAAATAATTTTAAATTGAATTGTTGCCGTTAGTTTTTCGAAAAGTTAATCTTATAACCAGAAAACGAAAGCCAAGAACCCAATATTGAATATTAAGTTTGCAAAAAAAACTGTCGCTGTTATTGTTAAATTTTGTTATTTCCGGTAAACCTATTGGTTAAAGTTTGGAATGTTAGTCTAGTTCTTCCTCACTCAAGTACTCATAAATTTTACTGTAAATGCTCTTAAAATGAAAAAAATAGAGATGCTACAACGTGCCTTTGGTCACTCGTGTGATTGATATTGTTTCTTATATAAGTCAGTTCTTGACTAGAAGTTCCTACCGCGAAAAGTACTTAAAAGCTTCGCTCAGTTTTATTTAGGTAACAGTTATAACCTAATGTGATCATTTCTATACACTGCAAGAGTATTTAAATGACAAAGAAATTTAGATGACAAAGAATTAAAATGATGATTTTTAGATTTTTATTGTGATATAATTTATTTAATAATAAAATGTGTAATTTATTTAATGCAATTATTATGACATAGAATTTTATTAATTTTATTGATAAGTAAGATTTTTGATGTGTTTTTATTTTCAATAAATAAATTTATATTTATTTATTGAAAAATTTAACAAGCTCTTTAAAGCACATTGCTATGCCCTAGCCAAGTTCGTGTAAGGATCTAAATGAACGCTTTTGTAACACCTCTGTACAACTACATGAAAAAGCAATAAATATGATTATGTTTTTTTTTTGTTTTTTTTAACACACACCAATTAGCCTAGCCTCAAAGTAAGCACTATAATAAGGCTTGTGTTATGGGATGCTAGGGTAACGGATAGAATACATATACTTTACATATTTAAGTATATTTATATAGAAATACATATTAAACATCCATGACTGGAGTACAAATGCTCGTGTTCATCACACAAACATCTGCCCCCACCGGGATTCGAACCCGGGACCTCTCGAGTCGGCGACGCCATGAAACCCGGTGTACAAACCACTCGGCCACGGAGGTCGTCAGATTTGAATTATGAATACAACCAATTTTGGAGTTCTATACATCCTTGCCTTCATTCCAATAGTATACCTACAGATACATCGATACACGTACGATGGAAACCAACCAGGAAACAACGTGTAAATTTTAAGAGCAAAATATAGAGCATATTCGTATGGAACAAAATATTTCAGGAAAGTAAAATAAATTATTATAAAATAAATTTTATTATCTACTAACTGTTCCACGTTGATTATAAAAGAACCTGACCCTTTATCAAAATTCAGATCCTGTTTTTGAACTTCAATGAATGAATGATTTTTTCTCCGATCGGAGAGTTCTATTTTCAAACTTATAACGAAAAACTTTTTCGATATTGTCAAATATTTTATTGATGAAATTATCGATAATGCGTATTCCTTTTTCCTCTTCTAAGTTCATCACTAAAATGATGATTTATATCAATTGAACAGACTACACCGAGCATCGTTACAGTCCATGTGAGTTTGAGAGTAGACACGGGACTTATAAGCATCTGATTTCATATTGTATACGGCTATGTAAAAAACATTAATTCCTACCCATGACACGACCTTCTATGGTCGTTCTTTTACCGTCCAAGCTATACGTCTATGGAATTCTCTTCCAGTATCCATAAGACGAGCACAATCTTTTAATATCTTTAAAAAACTTGTTGTGAATCACTATTTGTCGATGTAGCTGCATTTTTATCTCTGCTGACTGGACTACACCTATATATGTGTAGTCTATGTATATAGAATATGTATATATATATATATATGATGTGTATATATGTATGTATATATATTTAATTCATAAATTCGTTTAAATCCCTTGTTTCTTTTACTGACACCGCCGACTCCAGCTTTCTTTCAATCCTCTCCATCCAAAGGTTGTCTGGAAGAAATCGCTTTTAGCGATAAGACCGCCCATTGAAGCACTCTTTTTAACAATTGTAATGTCCCTCATTTCTGTTCTGTATTGTGGTGTTTTCAATAAAGTATTGTGTATTGTATTGTATTAATTTTTATATTTTTTTATGACACAAATATTAAAACGAAATACATCTTGTTCTTTAAAACTATACAGTTACAAGTATAAAAGGTATGTTAGTAATAGTTGAAATGTAACGAAACATCTTTGTCTTGGTGAAACCAAACCAATACTTGCCAAACGATTTTACGATAGCGGACTTTGTGTGCAGTCACAATTTTAAATTTACTGAGAAAATTTCATTTGAGTTACGCAACCAATACACTACTTAGCTGTCTTGTTCAAAAGGTTAACTTGAGTATATTCATATTTTTTGTCACAGTTACAGCACAAAGTATTATCCATTTTTGAAAAACGAAATCAGGAGAGGAGGGGCAGACAGACAGATGAACATGACAAAACTATAAGGGTTCCTTCTCAGGACTACGGAAGTTAATAACCAACAGTCGCTTAAGTTACTCAATGTGTGAGTTTCTTGGGAAAGCCACGAATATTTCTTACTATAAGAAAAGGAAAAGTCGACACATTGATGCCTTGGTGATCTTTTCATTACTATAGTATCTAATGGATGCAAGTATGCGATCACGTTTGCATGTTGACAGTTGAACCGCGACAAGTAGAACTCACGGCCGTCGCGGCGCCGTCATGGACTTTAGCCTTTGATGTCCATCAGGGATTTTACAGATTCTATACAGGGATGAAGTCAAAAAATCATTGAAAACTAAAATTAAACAACATTTATTCAGTCTAGGCTGTTACAAGCACTTGTGAAGGTCAAGAAGCTACGCCATCGGTTCGCAAAACTACGGCGGGAGACCTTGTACTGAGAAGAATCAGCAAGAAAATCAGCAAGGGCTGTTTTTTCACCCGGTTCGAGGAGGGTGGAGAAGCACACCTCCAGAGCCGGCTTGTATACCTACATATAATGCGATTCAAATGAGAATAGGAAAGCCAATGACCTCTATCTGTCAAATATCGCATGAAAAGTACGGCTTGCAAAAAAACTCGGAACAGTTTTTTAGCACTCAGGTAATTATGGATTAAAAACCAATCATTTTTAAACAAACAATAAAAAATATTGATAATTAATATTGGTCGATTTTTTGTTCATTTATTGAGCTTTGGCTATGGCTGGTTGATAACCTAAATCGTCAATCAATGTCACTTTATGTTGCGTTCAGAAACTCGATTTTAAACTTTCGTTTACTTAAAGGATGCATGTTCGTATGTGACCTGCATGATTATACATAACTACTCCGGCGGTGATGCAGAGATGAGCGAAATTGAAGAGCTAGATTCTAATTAATGTTTTTTCTCACACAGTCGTAATAAAGAAATATCATTAAAAAAAAGGTTGTTTTGTTTCTCAATCTTAGTTAATTAATTTTATTAAAAAATCTGATGTTTTTTCTCACTTAACTCAATGTTTCATTAAATAGATTTTTTTTTCCTCACTCTACCTATTTGGTTTGAATTGACAGCTATGACGTCAAAATATGACGCCCAGTCGGTCCTATTCTTAGTTGAATCGCATTTAGGGATTGCAATCCGGTGTCATTTTCAGTCCGGCCGGATACGACCGGATTCCCATTAATCCGGCCGGATCCGGCCGGATTGATCAAATCAGGATGATTTTCGGTTTTTCAAAACCTTTTTTGGGAAAAATTATCACAATAAATTATCATTAATTATCATTATCAAATGAGTTTAGAACTCTTTAGCTTAATCAACTTACGATAAATAATTCTTTTAATTAATAATTGTAAGAAAATAAAAAAAAGTATTAAAAGAAAATCAATATTGATTTTGAAAAAAAGATTGTAAAAAAACAAATATTGTTAATTGCGTCATCAGCTAAACGACTTCTAATAGAGCCTTTCAGCTTCTACACTTGTCGGCTTTATTGTAGCACCGGATCCGGTATATTTATACCGGATCCGGTAAACGTCAAATGATTCCGGATCCGCCGGATTACCGGATCCGTTTTTCCGGATTGCAATCCCTAATCGCATTATAGGTAGTTCTGTACTCCACAGATGAACACAGTGCATGGAAAAAGTAATGACCCTGATTTACACGGACGGGATGTTGCTTAAATAGGGTAACTCACAAAGTTAGGTTGGACCGCGATTTAGCCATGTGCTTAAGCCGTGTCATTATAAAATTTGAAACTTGCTATCCTTGTATGCTTTCCAATTACAGAGCATAATGCGACTCAGTGCCGCACAATGCCCAATTATGCTGATGCTTAATTGGAACGTGAATTAGTTTTCAAATGCACCAGCAGAGTGCGCTAAGTTCAGTGTTGAAAAAAAAAGTCAATGTTTGTACCTTTATCCATACTTATATTTATTTTTTAACAGTTTGAATGAACTTTGATTATTTAAAAAAAACTGTTTATTGAAACGAAAGCTTTAATAATTTTTCAAGAATAAATAATATTACTGACGATAACATATAAATAAAACATTTCGATCAATGCCAACTTAAAGAAAAACACTTGTTAATTTTCTGTCTCTAAGTTGGTACCATTGCACGCATCACACGAAAGCATCACTTTTGAGAGTGCTCAATTGTGCGAAGCGTTGCTGTAGTTGGAACACTCAACGTTAAGCATTATGCCGCATAATGCGCAATAATGCTGTAATTGGAAAGCAACCCTTGAGGCCAAATATGAGACAAGAGGTAAATAAAACCAAAAATCATAAAAAGGTTTTTTAATAGGTCGATTTTTATACGCATCATTAAAAAAATACATTTAAAAACCCTAAAACTGTAGCTGTTCCCGCATTATAATACTGCAAATTGAGAGGAGTGATAAAGTGAATCATTTACGTTGCAAACGTGAAATTTTGGAATCAGCCTGGTTACACAGGTCATCTTTAAAAAGAATAGTATCACCACAGTTAATGACCATTTTTTATCTCTGCAAGAATAATTATGACGGGAAAAAATTTGAGTCATCTTTGACAATTTTCGTTGCTTGTAACGTCAACTAGCCTTGGTCCTGTACATTACTTAAGATTTATATTTCTTATTGGTATTTTCATCTACTATTTATTTTTTATCGCATTTAAGAATGTATTTTATTTTCAGTGACGTGTAAACAAAATCAACGAAAATGTCTGTGTACAAATATATGGCCGGGATCGTTGACACGATCACTGGCGGTAAGTGGAGATATCCCATTAAACACCAATTAATACATGTTAAAAAGGCTTTCCATTTTCTTTTAGACACTTCTACATTAAATAGGAAAACGATTGGGTACCGCTAAGTCTATGTTATATCTTCATGTCTAAATAAAAATGAATCTTGTGAGATGTTTCAACCTGTATTAAGTACCCCGGTTACTGCTGGTGATGATAAAACACCGAAAATCCCTAACAATGCCTTTTTCATTACCACAATCAACAAACAAGTAGCAGTCGGATGAAAATTAGAATTCCCTCTATACTTAAGAAAACCAGAATTGTGGATCAGTAAGACTCCATGTTATCTGGTATTTTTTTGAGATGTACAAATCTTGATATGGTATACCTACCTAATCAGGAGAATCAAGATTTCGGCACTGCTGCAAGCGCCATGATCTGTGACTCCATGATCATGGTGCTTGCAACAGTACCGAAATATCGGAAACTCGCTAAAAACAAGGTCTATGGTAACAATAGGGATGATGGCAAATTTTTTTTTCTTCGTTTATCAGGTAGATTATCAAAAAGTATTGGACGTGTGTTTTTTCTTTTTTCACATAATACAAACATTGCAGAGATATATTGATTTGAAAAGTTGCATGACGTCACGTTTGAGTACACTTATAAGTGAAAATTCACTCAAAAGTGACGGTCACGAGCCCCTACTTCCAAACTTTGACGCGCTATAACTTTGTCATTTTTTGGTTGATTGCCCAAAGAAAAAATACGTCTCCATTATTTTTGATCATCTAACTGACGGACTAAATAGAATTTCGTTTACTGTACCCCATCATCACCCCTATCCCGTAAATAACTTATATTACTATAATGTTAGTGACCATGAAAGTTTAAAACAATATATAGCGCACATTTTCGTTCATAGCGCGTCTAATAGAAACATGGCAGAGTGAATTTACGCCCGATATAGAGCTGTCATCTGTGGAAGTAGAACCTCAAACTTACAGATGACTTCAGCCAAATAGTTCTCTTAAGTTGTATTCCTGTTACTCGTGTAAAATCTCCCAAGGTATCACAGAGCAGGAAGTGGGATCAGGAAAGGCGATGCGCAAACTAAGTGATATTAGAGTCTCGCAGGCTTTAGTGGCTGCTTACCATCAAGAGGGCCTTGCTTTCTTATCGCCTTTTGAAAAAAGTATTCTATCCTGATCGTGTTTGGTTTCAGGCGAAGAGGATGACAATTACGACCCCCATCAGCATCGCAAAATTCAGAGGCCAACCTCGTAAGTAGATACTTGGTTTCATCGGGTACTTACAGAGGGCAATGATTTTAGAATTATATTTATAACAGAAGAACTCGCTAAGTCCAATTCTGACCAATAAGAAAAAATTATCTATCCATTTTTATTCACGTCGTGTTCCACTTGTCTATATGTATCTTTCGCTTCATTCACATTCATTTCCCTTTTAATGCATGCACCCCGATTTTGCAGTTTTTACACACCTACCATCAGTAGGTGTATTCGCTAACAGTTTTTGACAAGTGAAAGTGATGATCACCGTGCTCATCTGATTCACTACTTCTTTATTAAAACGCTACTATGATACTTATCCTGTAAAGCATCGATGGATATGCATTTACATACTGTAAATGTTTAAAACGTTAGCGAATAGATCTGCAAAATGCGATCAATTCGATCTTGATAGGTGAGTTTCGGTCTTCCCCTGCTTTTACATCCTTCACGTCATGCTCTTATATCTGTTTCGTGATTCTCTCATTAGACTTTACAAAAGCGATTAGTTTAAGTACTTGTGTATAATCTGGCCCCAGATATGCGGACACCATGATCCATTTGCTAAAAGGCAGCATAGGAGCGGGCATCATGGCTATGCCCAGCGCTTTCAATCGTATGGGATTAATCGCTGGATCGATTGGCATGATATTAGTCGGAATCTTTGCCACATACTGCATACAACTCCTTGTAAGTATGTTATAAATGGTAATGTATAGGAATTAATCCACAGACTAGTTTCTGCGTTCTATGAATAAATCAATTACCCTCTCATTCTGAACTGACAACAAATACTTGTTGTTATTCCTGTTTCAGGAATTTTAATATCCTCTAAAACCTTGTTCATCTTTGAATTTTGTGCTGAATTAGCTGTCACCAGATTTATATAGCCTCATCTCATCAACAAAACTGACTCAAAAATAAAATAGTCACCATAATCGGTCCTGAAATCTCGAGTTAAGAGCGAAGAAATATAAAAAATATTACCTACAGACGAATATGACGAATATAGAACCTCCTCCCTTTTGAATTGAGTTCAAAGGTAGTCTAGTTTCTATCTGTTTTTTCAGATATCGACACAATACGAGTTGTGCAAGAAGTGGCGCCGTGGCTACATTGGATACCCAAAGTCGATGAGGCTATCCATTCAAGACGGTCCACCCTGCCTGCGATGGTCTGCGGGGTTATTTTACTACTTTGTGGAACTAGTCCTGACTATCTGGCAACTCGGCATTTGTTGTATTTACATCATCTTCGTCGCAGAGAATGTCAAACAGGTGTCACCTTGATTCTTATGTTTTAGTTTGTTGGACATAATCCTCAACGATAGCCCTTTAAGGTCACCGCCTCGCCTCACTAGCAAACTGTCCACGCGTGGGCGGCGTTTGGACACCGCGGTGACCATCCGCTGCTCGCATGCGAGAAACGTGTCGTACCTACGCGCTCTGTCTCGCTCATTGTATAGCGGGAGGAGCGGCTCGCGCGGCGTTCACCCGTGGCCCACCCGACGTAAGCAGGTTGACAGCTTGGAGTGCCGGGTGGTTCAGGTGCGCTGCGACCTTTATTCGACAAAGTTTACTTCCAACTAAATAACGAATGACAAAAATTTTACGAAAATACCAACTTTGGAATTCTATCTAGGAATAGAATAATTTGTTGAAATGTGAATATTTTTATTGAATATTCTTTTCTCTACTCAGGTTTGTGACTACTATGACTACGTGCATTCCCTAAGGATGCATATGGTCTTCCAACTGCTTCCTCAGATCTTATTGAACTTGATAAAAACGCTGAAGCTTTTGACGCCACTTTCAACTATCTCAAACTTGTGTACGATGTTGGCCTTCATCCTTGTATTCTTTTACCTCATAGAAGAAGATGTGACAGTAAGCAAAGAAGATCTGATGTTAAAAAATTTTTTAGATATACCCATATTTATTGGAATAACGCTATTTGCACTAGAAGCTGTTGGAGTGGTAAGTTTTATTTTGATATTTATAGTCCATTATGTAATAAAAAATCCTCCAACTGACAGAACCTCCTTTTTCTTTTTCTTTTCAAATAATATCCTTTAGAGCACGATTTACAAATGAGATTAACAAGAAAAACTGATTCCACTCGAGTCTTAATGTCTCTAAAGTATATAAACTTGCAAATACAGATGCAATTTCACCGACACAGTGCATTCTTTTTCATCTTTGGAAGCTGTAGTCTAAAAACTAGTACCAAATCCATGTCCTGTTTCTCATCAACTTTGGTTGGTAGGTATTGGCGCTTGAATACAATATGGAGAATCCAAAACATTTCGTCGGACTATTCGGCTTATTCAACATCGGCATGACCATCATAGTCGTTGCATATTCACTTATTGGTATCTTTGGTTTCCTGAAATATGGTTCGACTATCCAAGCCTCTATAACACTTAACCTACCACAGGACCAAAAGTAAGTGCATCGTTATTAATATTTAAATGTCAATTTTAACTTCGACATCGAACATCGACATACCTGTGTATTTATCAGTTCACCCAGGTAAATAATAGACAATGCATAGGTAATTTTAAAGGTTTTATACTGTAAGTCAGGACAACATTTTTTTACTATCTTGATGTTGCAACATTTAATTAAAAAAAATATTTAAAAATTAATTAAAAATCGTCTGTCTACGATTTTTTAGGCAACCCATTTTTAATATATCACCTGTGGACGCAAATGCTTGAAATCAAACAAACATCTAAATGGCATTTAAACTAACAAAAACTCTGACAGAACAGCTACTTACTAAGCATTTGCTGTCTTCAACCGTCTCTAACTTTCACCAAGTAATCATCTATTTATGAAGTCCAAATGTTTTAACGTTCTAAAATTACAGAATAAAATGCGTTATGGAAAACATCCTCAGCTCATATTCTAATTATTTCTATTATAGGAAAGCACAGTTCGCGAAGGTTATTTTGGCTTTGGCCATATTTCTGTCATTTCCGCTGCAGAACTTCGTTGCGTACACCTTGATATGGCGAAAGATTAAGAAGAGACTCCATCATGCTCAGAAGACTGTCGTGGACTACACGTTGCGAGTAACATTAGTGTTATTACCCTGTGAGCACTTACTGCTTATTATTTAAATACATTATTCAACAGTAGATTAAGAAATATGTGGGAGAATCCATATTACCGGAATCGACACCCTTATGATACGTGATAGTTGACTTCAGACGCGAAGATAGCTGGTGCTGGACCTTGCCAGCCTGCAAGTTGGTTGTTTCTCCACGCCCTTTTTTAAAGGTTGTAGAAGTGAAAGAACATGACAACGTAGGCCGGCGCGAGTGGTCCTCTGAAAAAAGGAGGAAAGTGGGATAGGGGATAATAACTACCCATACAAAAAAACATTGGGTTTGGTCATTAGTGTTTACTATATGAATCTGTCATGTAAAGGATAGGAATATGGGCCTTGTAGACACAACAGTATTCTTAGGGATTACTCTAGATTCGAAGCTTCAATGGGACCCACATTTTGATAAATTGTCAAATAGACTAAGCTCTGCAGCATATCCTGTAATGATAAAAGATTGACTTGTTCCTTAAAAACAATGATGTTCACACACTTAATACAAGAAACAAAAATAAACTAACTTTACCTGCGACTAGGCTTCACAAAATCAATAATTCATTTAATGGTCTTTTCTTTCGTTTAAACAACTCTCAAGAAATATCCAAGAGTTGACCAGAAATAAATTCAAAGATACTATTAAAAAAGTACTTATTGAAAAAGCTTATTACAAAGTGTCTGATTATATTACAGACAAAAATGCTTGGCTTTGAATTGTTCCAATCATTCCAAAAGGGTTTCTATGAAATAAATCATGATTGTGGGAAAAAAATAATAGACGTTTGGTTTGCTTTAATGTTTGTTTTTCAATGTATTTTTTTTTGGAAAGGTTTTTAAGAAATAAACTTGGTTTTAATCAATTACCTTTACCTTTTACCGCTCTAGCGGGTGGCGCTCTGGACCGTTGCCATGGAAATGGATATCATTGTCCTTTACGCATCCGAGCTAAGCTCATTACTCACGCACGCCCGTGCTTTTCCAAAATATAATTTTAACTTTGCGCATTTTTCTCTTTGATCTTACGTAAGTACTATCGAGACTTTGTCCCACCCCCCTTTTAAGACAAAATAAGACATGGACGATCTCCACCACTCCTTAAATCAGTAATAAATGAATGGCCCCCAGTAATAAAGATCATTTTTCTGCATAGGGGGTCTAGGTATGCTGATGCCATTCCTCGGTCCGTTCATCGCGTTGTTCGGCGCCTTCTGCCTTTCGCTGCTGGCGATTGTGTTCCCTGGGATGATGAGCTCCTGCCACTGGTACCCGGACCGATATGGCCGGTGTTACTACAGGCTGCTGCGTGACTCTACCGTGATCATACTGGGACTGTTGATGCTCGTTGCCGGCTGCTATACGAGCGTCCTCGAAATCCTCGAGTCATGATTGGAAAATGTTTATGGACTTCATGGCAATAAAGTACAGTTTGTATTAATTAGGGTGAAAGTTTATATCAAATTGGCTGTATGGGTCTTGCTTAAGGTTTGGGTTCTGTAATATTGATTGCAATAAAACAGTATGAGTTCGACATGCGCTTATGTCTCATTTAAAGTATATGTAGTATTTTTCCCCTGTTCCCAGTAGTCTTACCAGTTGAACTACTGGAAATTTACTTCCCAATAGACTTACTAGTAAGATCACTGGGAACTTTGCACCCAGTAGAATTACCAGTCAAATAAAACACCCAACACTTTAATGTAGATCTCTAGGTAATTGATAGAATAACTACGTAATTTGAATCTATGACCCAAGATAAATCAAGAATTTTCCAGTTCGCTCAGAATTCAATATGCTGCCGAGTGAAAGATACGGGCAGCATAAACGTTGCTGTACACTGCACACTTTCACTGCTATAAATGCCTTTGGTGCTTAATCTAATATAAGGTTTGGATTGACGGAATTTTCAAAAAAGAGAATTTGTGAATATTAGTTTATTTAATTAATACAGTGTCATTTTTGTTTTTTGTCAAATTATAATATTTCGTTTTTTGTTGAAATATTGGTTTTACTTCTAAAAGGTTCCCCTAGGGGCGATATCAAGATTTCTATACTGTTCATTTCTGTACTGATCTTTTCCCTAGGCTGAGGAGACATCAGGACTTACTTTTAAATATAATATAGTACCATAGATAAATGATTGGTCTCGCTTCTCTCGACTAGATACTGCGCTGTCTAATAGTCTAATAACAAGAACACCGTAATTGCGGCTACTCACACTCACACACACTACAAATTATTGTAGTGTGTGTATGTCAATTTGCAAGGATGCTATTGTATTAGTCCTATTACTACCCAATTATAAGGGACCCTTACCCTGGGTTAGGATGGTGTAATAATACTTAGGCAGTAAGGGATCCCTTACGCCCTGACGATCGCGTAATGAAATAGCTGTCGTTTTTCTAGTCTGATTAGTTTACTGGCGCGAAAGCATCTAATGAAGAGAAAGAAGTAAATTAAACACATAATTAAAGAATCAGCAGAAAATAGTCATTGATCCTCAAAACTAACCTTTAGTTAGCAATTGTATTTATTTATATGAGATTTTTTTTTTGATGAGCATTACCATATTTCCCATAAAATAAAGAGAAAAGTACCTTCTAAGTGTTTATGCTATTGGCCGCAGATGACCTTTACAGCGTCACCGGGTTTGGGAACGGCGCGATCCTAAGGGGACTTCAAGCCGAGAACTGGCGAGTGCCTCCTGAGGTATTTCAGGCGGATGGCATCTCCCCACGGGGGGAGTCTCCTCTCCGTCTGGAGCCTCTAGAACACTAGAACCTGAAGGGGGCGGCTCATCTAGAGGGTGTCTCTGAGACTCGAACCTCGGCTCTAGTTAGCCGTTATCGAGGGGGGAGAAAAGTGCCGAAAGATTTAGAGCAGTTTATAAAAATTGATTAGAATGCATCGGGTGCCGTGACGACGTTCAACCGAGACGACTTTTACTTTCAGACTGAGTTAGGGTCCGTTGATAGGGTGGCGTAAAGGTGCTGTCCGACGAACTGCGTAGTCGCACGCGAGGCAGCGCCGCGCAGGGTTGCCAAACTTATATGAATTGTAACAATCGAAATTTAGCAGTATCTATACATGATATGTGACTATCGCTTTCGACTCTACTCTCAAGTATATTTAAGTAAATATAAATAATAATATAGCTCGATGGCGCAGGTGGTTAGCGCATTCGGCTGCGATCGTTGAAATTAAGCAACTTTCGCAGTGGTCGGTCATTGGATGGGTGACCAAAAATTACTATCTCGAGCTCCTCCGTGCTTCGGAAGGCACGTTAAGCAGTTGGTCTCGGCTGCATCTGCAGTCGTTAGCACTCGCCAATCCGCACTGGGTCTGCGTGGTGGGTCATGGCCCAATCTCCCTATTCCGTCCATATGAAAGGCCTGTGCCCCAGCAGTGGGGACATTAATAGGCTGATGATGATGATAAATAATAAAATGGCTGTTATCAAGTAATTGGAGCTAAAATAGGTGCAATAAGAACAAATATTTTTGTAAAGCGATTTATTTTTGGGCTATTCATGGGTAGCGCGTGGCGAGCGCTTTGGCACTGTACCCCTCGGTTGCGCAGCCTTGGACTCCGAGCAGTTCCTTGCGTTATCCAGGGTGCGATTTAACCGGGCGATGTGACGCAACTCTCGTCGCACAAGCCGCACGTGCGAGTCCCGCAGGGCACGCACGTCGCCTATCCAGACCTCTGCTGGCGCCACTTCTGGCGTAACTTGTGGCTCTCCTGCAAAAGCCCATCCATCATTATAGGACACTAAACACTTCAGATCCCGGTGTCGCTTATGGCACTGCTGTAAAAACCCATCCATCGCTTCACGATCAGAAGGTCTAAGTAGCAGAACGTCCAACAGCACGAAACGTCTAATGCGCAGTTAGTCTAACGAGGGCTACCGTTTTTTGTCTCACCAGATGGCGCCACTGTTGATGAGTGATGTCCTGAATTGTAACTTTTAATGTTTATTAATACGCGCGTGAAATCAAAGTATACATTTAAATCATATTTTAATACAAAAGAACCGTATTCTAAACATAATTGGCCATACCACAGTGTTGCGCCGCTCCGTTTTGTACGGCAAAAAGGAGGACATAATTATTTTTCTCAGCTCCGCTTTTAAATAACTGACATTCAATGCCACGTGACTCATATTTGCTATAATTAAGCCGAGTTATTACTAAATATTCACAACATTATTTTAATTAGAAATAAACCCGCGTAGTCAACCCACAACCAATAACATTTGACATTTCGGAGACCTCACGCTACACAAGCGCCTCTAGCGGCGGATTCATACGCGATAGCCCTCATTAGCAAAATGTCCAATTCTCAAAATGTCTGGGTACTCAGGGACACATTTGAAATTAAATCAAAATTATACCTATTTTATTCAAATTGACTTATTATAGCTCTTTTGAATTATCCAATATTAAATCTAAAGAAAAGTTTACTAGAAAAAAAAAGCGGACCAGGCAGCGGACGGGACTCGAACCCGCACTCTTCGCAATCCGGGCGAATGCACTGACCATTATGCTACCACGGCCCTATTGGCCGCGTCGAAATTTTCCTAGCCTTAAGCTGCAAGGCAGCGCCATCTCTTCGCATTGTAGGTAACCCACAATGTCAAATGAATACTTTTTCAAGTATTAAACATTTGAAAGAAGAAATAGCAATTATAATTATTTAAACACCTAGCAGTTAATGCTTAAAAATAAATAAAAACATATCCAATATTTTTTTCTACAACCCCCCCCCCCCCCCCCCCCCCCCCGCATCTTTTAGCTGATGAGACAAATTGGGCACAGAAACTCAGCATTTAGTAGAAGTACTAAGCAACATTTACATAAAATCATGTATTGAAGTATTGAATATCGTCCACTCTCATTTTGATTGCTGTGTCATACAGTATAAAATACAAATAATGTGACTTATATTAGGTATAATTAGATATTTTTTTATAGTAAGGTAGTAAGTAAAGCAGAATCATCTCCAACGGCATCACCCGGCAGTTGGCATACGCTACTCAACAGCAATATAAAATCAAAGCCAACCCTGCTACTATTCTCAAAGCTCTTAGATAAGAAGTCTTTTGGCAAGATCGCAAATACAACAAAAAAAATTATAAATGGGTTTTATTTTCTGTCATGAGTGTACACATTTTAAAAAGGACGATTTGCTAAGTAGACATTCTGCTAAACAGCCCATATGATGGACGTTTTGCTGCATGGACATTCTGCTTATAAGACGTTTTGCCTTGTTAAACATAATGCTACTCAGACCTTCTGATCGTGAAGCCATCCATCATTATAGACGATAAAGAAAATGATGGGTGTTTTTGACAGCAATTCGTATTATGGCAGATTTACATTGATACAGTAGCACCAATATTTTATCACTAGCATAGCAATGCTGGATTCGTATAAACTGTATATGTTTGCGGACTGTATCTCATGAAACCATAGTCGGAAAACTAAAATTTTCACAAAATGAGTACTATATTACCGATACAGCACCAACAAAAAAAAATATACAACGTCTTACTTTATGACGTATAGAAATACGTCGTAGACTATGTTTTTATATCTATAGGAAGCAAATGTGGGGGTGGGCGTGATGTTACCCCATCATGGGAACGAAATTGGGGGCGCAGCAAGTACTTAAATAAAATCAAAAGGTAGCTAAACTTACTGGATGTTTTGGATGTGTTGTCACGCTTGCCCCTGTAAATAATCGACAGGAGATCAGTACTTGGTTTGAATGTTTTATGGTTGGGATCTAGTTTTAATATCTTGGATAAAACATATCTTTCAGTGTTAACTGAAGCACTAGCTCTCTTGTGCTCTGCCTGCTTGTGCCGTAAATTTTCTTGTACACCATCATCAGTTGTTGTATAGAATTCGTCAGGCCATGAACTTTTATTCAATTCATCGTTATCGTCTTAAGAGTATAAATAACCCACTGTTGGGGCGGCTTCCCTACGGATGGAATATAGAAATTGGGCCATGAGTCACCACATGGACCCAGTGTAGATTGGTGGGAGCTAACGACTGCAGATGCAACGGTGACCAACGGCTTAACAAGCTTTTCGAAATACACAGAAGATCGAGATAATACAATAGGGGTGATGACGGGGTACAGTAAACGAAATTCTATTTAGTCCGTCAGTTAGATGATCAAAAAATAATGGACACGTATTTTTTCTTTGGGCAATCAACCAATAAATGACAAAGTTATAGCGCGCCAAAGTTTGGGAGTAGGGGCTCGTGGCGTCACTTTTAAGTGAAAATTGTAGCAATACGTCATGCGACTTTTCAAATCAATTTATCTCTGCAATGTTTATATTATGTGAAAAAAGAAAAAATACCTGTCCAATACTTTTTGATAATCTACCTGATAAATGAAGAAAAAAAATTAGGCATCATCCCTATTCTGGTATAATATTAGATAGTAGATTAAAATTTAAAGCTCATATACATGGAATTGTCAAAAAAAACTGCATTTGGGCAGATAGGCTTTCCGAAACGCAATTCGCAGGGTTTTCAACGACATGGAACTAAGATAATCACACTTATATATAATAAAGGTGAAAGTTTGTGAGTGTGTATGCTTGTTACTTCTTCACGTCTAAACAGCTGAAGAGATTTTAATAAAATTAGGTATGGAGTTAGCTGACACCGTGGATTAACACATAGGCTAGACGTTTTACTGCGGGAAAATATCCCTAATAAACTGTGGATAACACCGTGGGGCACAGCTAGTCCTTTATAACGTGCTGTGCTGTAGTTTGCGTTTGTTGAATGGAACCCTGTGTATGCTATCATAGTGAATTGAAAGCATTCAACGTGCCTTCTTAAGATATCTAGCGTTTAAAGCATCAGGTATACATCAACTTTGAGGACGAGGTGAATAGAAGAGTTCAGCTAGCTTGGGCAGCGTTTGGGAAGCTACGTCAAGTCCTGACATCGTCGATCCCAGTGCCAAAAGACGAAAGTCTTCAATCAGTGCGTCCTACCTGTGATGACATATGGAGCCGAGACGTGGACAATGACGGTACGGCTGGTCCATAGGTTCAAAGTCGCTCAGCGCGCTATGGAAAGGGCTATGCTCGGCGTTTCTCTGAAGGATCGCATCAGAAAAGAGGTAATCCAACAGAGAACCAGAGTTATTGACATAGCCCACCGGATTAGCAAGTTGAAGTGGCAGTGGGCTGGCCATATTTGCCGAAGAACCGATAACCGTTGGGGTAGACGAGTTCTAGAGTGGAGACCGCGTCTAGGCAAACGTAGTGTAGGACGTCCTCAGGCACGATGGAGTGACGATTTGCGGAAGGTGGCTGGCAGGAGCTGGATGCGAGTAGCCCAAGATCGATCTGAGTGGCGTGCATTTGGAGAGGCCTATGTCCAGCAGTGGACTACGATAGGCTGTTGATGATGATACATCACCGGGTTTCTTACAATATGTAAGTACTTTCTTTGATATGACATCACTGAGGAATCGACGAATAATAATAGATTTTTCAGAGGACCACGCGCGCTGGCTTACGTTGCCACCGACTAACTGTAGCCACTATTCCTACACGAACAAAGAAATTTGGTGACTCATTTCTTTGTAAATGGAATTCTTCGCCCGCGCACGTGTTCCCTCATTCCTACAATCTGGGGTCCTATAAGAGAGGCGTGAAGAAGCATTTTTGCCGGCCGGCAAGGTGAGGATGGTTGGTGGAGCAGTTTATAACTGCTGTACCAGCTATCTTCGCGTTTGGACTTTATCACCACTTAACATCAGGTGGGGTAGAGTCACTTGCCTACCTGGCTATAAAAAATAATGATTAGCTAATTTCCATAAAATTGTAAAATTTTGTGTCCTGATCTGCTCAACTTAATAAACTTCACTGTACCCCGTAAATGCCCAAGAAAACCACTTACGAAAACTGTTGCTTTGCTTTTTCACAGAACTAACCTTGGTCTTCATTACCCTCTGGCCAGAATCTGCAATACCTATAATGATATTATCACAAATCACCCAACTTCGATGTTTTTGTCGTTTCGCAGAAAAACTTTAAAGCAACTAACTTTTTTTAGAGCTGCTGGATTCTCATTAATTCCACATTATTATTATTATTTTGTATCAATTTAATATTAATACATTATTTATTTTAAATTAAACATTGATTATTTATTGCACTATTTATTGTATATTCATTGATAATTAAGTACACTGTACTTCACGCAAATTAATGTCGTGTAAAGGCTTGCATATGTGTCTAAGAGTAAGTACTATTTTATTCTTTAAGATTTTTTTTTATGTTTAGCTGTACGTACACCTATTAAATAAAATAAATAACTTTTCTCAAATAATGCGCGGAAATTAAAACTAAGTAACTTGGCAGAACTTACGAAATTCTGGCAAATCAATGACGAACAACAATAACTTTTCCAGTGTTTAGTGTTCATTTTTTTATTTTTCATAAACAGCTTTCCATTTCGAACTCCTGTTCGAAATTTAAATAAAACCTTTGATAAATTACCCTAGGGACTTTTTGGCGGGATCAAGAAGCGTCAATTTAGCAGTTTTGTTTTTCTTGTTAAAAATGTGTTGTGGCGGATGTTAGTGCCTAACAATGGTGGATTATTAACCACAAAGTGTTCGGGAACATGCACAAGTGCTGGCAAGTGAAACAAAATAGCGGAAAGTGTCCTTCGACGTTCCCTCAAGAAGTCCACGGGGAGGTTCCAGTAAATCCCCACACATTTACTGAAAGATAGGGTAAGGGGGATTGACTTGACTGCCATTTGACTGCCATTTACTTTGACTTGATTTATTACTTTGACTACGAGTGCTATAGAATTTGTAAACATCGTAACACTTGACATTGGCTAAATGCACCAGACGTGCGAAGCCATTTAGAAAAAAAAAGTTACCCTAGTTTCCATGAATATAGAAGATCGTTCCATTTTCAAATTATGATATGAGTTGTACTTTATTTGGCCGCTAAACACGACATATATGGATTTTCATACAACTTTTGCCGGCCGCTGCTCGCATGATGTAGACAGTACAGAAATTTTGATTTATCTCGAAGAAGGTTGTCGAATTAACGCTCACATTTCCCAGCCTGTTTGTGTAAATGTCCCTGTGTGTTGGACAGATCGCTGCAGTAATGTACTTTAACTATATAAATTAAGTTTCATACCTGGGGTAACGCGCGGGAGCTTGCACAGCGACATTTCGGTAGTCACCAGCAGCGCTGGTAGATGCGCGGGGATCCAATCTGTCTGTTGAGGGCTCCGAGACGGCGGCAGAGCTATCGCTAACCACTGCAGTGGTATCGCTAACCACTGCAGTGACACCGGTAGCAGCAGTTACAGAAGACTCGGCTAGATTGGCAGTTACGACCGCAGCGGTTCCAACGTGGTTTTGGTGGTCGAGTTGTTCATTCTGCAGTGTCGGAGAAGTTGGTCGGCCTTCGACGCTAATAAGAAATAGAAATATGCTATTTATTCTCAATATTATACGGAGTACCACTTCAAAGTTTTACCAACATTTCTAAATAAATAACTTAAGCGAGCCTTTCTTGAAATCAAGGGCCAGTCGAGTAGTCTCATGATGGGACTACTGGTATCTGATACCACCCCCAAAAGGTTCAGGAACAATTTGCACTACATTGTCGATACGGCTTTGTTTGTTTTTTTGAAGTTATACTTCTTTAGGCGCGTTATGAAAAAATGATGAGAGTGAAATTTTAAAATGCGCGCGCATCACTGTAACACAAAAAATTAACAGCAGCTAAAGCGACCAACTTCACGCTGTAACTTTTGTGTTTACCGCACATTAAGAAAATCTACCAACAAAATAGAATCTCTATTTTGTGGGTGCTAACGACTGCATTGTAAAGGCCTATCAAAAGTATTTATTAATCTGGAACAACGGAACCAAAGCGCGATTCAGGAGACTACAGCGCCATCTCTTGACCATTGGTGTAGTAGAACCAAAAACCACATCTATTTTTTGTAATAAAGTAACAGTTATAGGTATTCATATTTATAATATTTATCCACATGTTTCTAGTTTGTATATTCGGAATACGTGTTTGAGTTTCATACAAGTGCAAATCACATGTGTTCTAATAAATTATATTCAGTAGCGATTTTAATTGAATATTTTGATTATTTTAATTGAATATCTTGTAACCGAATCCTTCCTTAAACCTTCTCTTCCTTCATCTCAGTTCGCACTTCCAGGATTTAACCTTATTCGCAATGACAGGACCGGCAAGGGTGGTGGTGGAGTAGCAATCTACCTTCCCACCGACATTCCGTTCCGTGTTATTAGCACTTCTCCATCTGCTTATAGTGCGGCAGCTGAGCATTTGTTTTTAGAAGTATCTATTCGCCAAACAAAATTACTTCTCGGTGTCTTATACTCTCCTAATCTATATATCGACTACTTTGATACTTTTGATAAACTCCTTGATGCTTATAGACCAACTTACCAGCACATCATAATCATGGGTGACTTCAACACATGCCTTCTGAAATCCAATGTACGTTCCTCTAAACTTCAATCTATTATTTCTTCTTACAATTTACATGTTCTTCCTACATCTTCCACTCACCATTTTCCTAACTGTGTGCCCACACAACTTGACCTAATGATAATTTCTTCTCCAGAGAAAGTGGTAACTCACGGGCAAATGACTGCAAATTTTTCCTATCACGATCTCGTCTTCCTTTCATATAAACTTAAACCACCCAAACGTAAACCCCAATATATAATGCGGCGAAACTACAAAGGTATTAATTTGAATCATTTGCGACGTGATGCTGAAAATGTGGATTGGTCTTTAGTGTTCCAGGCTCCCTCCATTGATGAAAAGGTCAGTAAATTTAATTCACTGCTTCTTGGCTTATATGACCTGCACGCACCTTTAAAATTAATTAAAATTAGACATAAACCTGCTCCTTGGATCAACGAAGAAATCAAAGGACTTATGGCACTGAGGGATAAAGCGAAACGGAGAGTTAAAAACCGCCCCTCTGATGACAACCTGGTTCGCTATAAGGCCCTACGCAATCGCTGCAGTCGTATGTGTAGAGATGCTAAGAGACGGTATTTTCATGATTCTCTTAGTAACCGCAATACAGCAGATACCTGGCGTTTCCTTCGATCAGTCGGTGTGGGCAAGCCTTGTTCCTCTGTCCCAACTGGCACTGACATAAACGCTCTAAACAGACATTTTTCTCTCCCTCCAGTCAGTATTGCTAACAGCGACAAGGATATTGCTCTTAAGAAACTATCAGAACTTGCTAGACCCAACTGCCCTCTATTTGACTTTTCGATGGTTTCTGAAACTGACGTCAAGAATTCTATTCTGTCCATATCTTCCGAGTCCACTGGCGACGACAATTTGAGCTCGAGAATGTTTATTCCTATTCTTTCTACTCTTCTCCCTGTCCTAGCCCACATCTTTAACTACTCCTTGTCATTCAAATGTTTTCCCAAAATTTGGAAAAAGGCACACATTATTCCTTTACCTAAAATTTCTAACCCTACATTACCTTGCCACTTTCGTCCCATTTCCATCTTACCTTTTCTTTCCAAAGTTCTCGAGCACATTGTCCACAAACAAGTTTCTCAATTTCTTCTTTCCAACAATCTCCTGAATCGTTATCAGTCCGGATTTCGGCCAGGACACAGTACGACCACTGCCTTAGTGAATGTCACCGATGATATTCGCTGGGCAATGGATAACAAAGCACTTACTGTCCTAGTATTGTTAGACTTTAGCAATGCATTCAGTTCCGTAAATTTTGACATTCTCCTTGCTATTCTTCATTCTCTAAATGTCTCTTCTTCTGCTCTTTCTTGGTTTGATTCCTATCTTCGGGGTCGCTCGCAGTGTGTTCGTCTTGATGACACAACCTCTGATGGGTGTGAACTCAGTGTGGGTGTACCTCAGGGAGGCGTTCTCTCGCCACTCCTATTCTCCATTTTTATCAACTCAGTTATAAGAGTTATCTCCTCCAAGTTCCATCTCTACGCAGATGACTTGCAGCTTTATCGCCATTTCAATATTGACGAATCGGACTCCGCAATAGCAGCCATTAATGAGGACCTTAACCGTATCAGTACTTGGGCAAAATTTTATGGTCTCTCTGTTAATCCCTGTAAATCACAGGCGATCATCATAGGGAGTAGGTATATGTCTAATTATATCCGTTCCTTTCATTTGCCACCCGTTTCTATATGTGGAATCAATATTCCTTACAGCGACACGGTGAAAAATCTCGGAGTGATAATTGATTCCAATCTCTCATGGACAGCCCACGTCGCTGATGTAAGTCGCAAAATGTATTTTTCACTTCACACCTTAAAGTGTTTACAAAATTTTCTTCCTCTACATTCTAAAATTGCCCTTGCCCAATCTCTTATTCTACCCCTTCTCGACTATGCTGATGCTTGCTATTTAGACGCTACGGAGATTTTGCTTAACAAACTTGAGCGCCTGCAGAATCTTGCCATCCGATTCATCTTTGGTCTTCGTAAGTACGATCACGTCTCCAACTTTCGAAAGGAACTCAAGTGGCTTCCCATACGTCTGCGCAGGAATGTCAGAATCCTTTGTCTCCTTTTCAACATCCTTTACAATCCTTTATATCCTTCCTATCTTCGAGAGCGGTTTTCTTTCACCCACTCGCTTGATGTTCCTTGCCGGTCCCACCTAAAATCCCTTCTCAAATGTCCTACTCACAAAACTGATTTTGCATCCTACTCTTTTACAGTCCATGCCATCCGCTTATGGAACTCGTTGCCAGCAGAAATCAGAGACGCCCAGACCATTTCTACCTTTAAAAAACGATTGAAGGAACACTACCTTTCTACTTGAAAATCTAAAACTTTATTGCTTCTCCTAGTTTGCTTTTATTTATTTTATATTAATATTTATCAATTTATTAGTTAATATTTATTATTTATATATGTATTGTATGTTATTGTATGTATTGCATATGTATTATGTTATATTTATTCAGGAGCACACACTGACTGCCTTTTTCTATGTTCTTTCCTTTCGCGGGCCTGCTGGAAGAAATTTCATTATGAAATAAGCAGTGCCCTTGTACATGTCTCTTGTTTCTCTTTTATGTAATATTTTATTGTGTGTGTACAAAATAAATAAATAAATAAATAAAAAAAAAATATTTATTTATTTTTTCAAATTAAAACTGAACTTTATTGACTGTGTCCTTTTCCAGACTTTTTATTAATTTATTGTAATTAATTATTTGCATGCAATTAAAAACTAATTTTAAACGATTCCAAAGAAGGATAACTTCTCACGCGCCTACATAAGTACACGCACCCATTTTTTTTTAATCTTTTCTTGTATAGTTTTATATCTTACGGACTATGAAAATGGAACATGGATTTTAATTACGTGGAACCTCTTGGAGGAAAAATACCAGTAGTCCCATCATAGGATTTCTTCACTGGCACTACTGGGAATACACGTTAGTAATGGGAGCACTACGCTCATCTCACTGAGATGGTGGAATACGAAAATGGCGCTTTGGTCTACGACATAGACATGGGTAAATTACTGTCCAAATAATTCAGATGGAATAGGAAATACAGGGTAAAGTAAAATTTTATACTTGTAATAAAAAATATTAATTTGTTTCTTAAAAACAGTGATGCTCAAACACTTAATTACAAGAAACAAAAATATACTAACTTTACCTGCTACTAGGCTTCACAAAATTAATAATTCATAAAGATAGTATAAAAAAGCACTTATTAAAAAAGTTTATTACAAAGTGTCTGATTATATTATAGACAAAAATGCTTGGGTTTGAACTGTTCCAATAATTCCAACAGATTTTTTACATTAAATAAATCATAATTGTATTGACGTTGTAACAACATAATGATTTGTAAATGTTGTTTCATTAGACTTTTAATGGTGTGAAGTTTTTTTCGCTCGTTTTTCTTCGTAGCTAAAAAATATGTCCATAACGAGTGGTAGCGAAAAAAAATTTTGGACGATTCAAAAGAGTTGTACTATACATCCAATTTCAATAAAGATATATTGATTTCTGATTTCTGTGAGTGAAGTGGATTTTATACGGAGCTCCATAGATAGTCCAATGAACCTTTTGGACAGGTTTCAGGCACAATTTTGTTCGTGTTGTTATATCTAGGGTATTTAATATCATTGGCTATTATCTATTTGGAGAAAGTGTAGTGGGGGCGAGCCGGCGACATCGGTTCCCGAATGAACAGTCTATGAGCACCCTTGTTACCTATTTCTGTGTTCTGTGCTCCCTACATATACAACGCAGCGCAATATGTAGCTTGTGTCCTCATTAAAATCTGACAGCACAGCGCAGCATAGATTGATGATAATACTTTTGATACTAGGGCCCGTATTATAGAAAGATTCTGAGTAATGAATCTAGTCTTGTACATAGTCAGAAAGAGATGTCGCTATATATAGCACATAGGGGCATCCCTCTCTAACGCTACTCAAGTAAAGATCAACACTTAGTTGTCATTCTGTAATACGAGCCTAGAAGGCTACCTTTTTTTTATGTTATACCGGGCATACGAGCAGATGGCTCACCTGATGGTAAGTGATCACCGTCGCCCATGGACACTTGCAACACCAGGAGTATCACAAATGCGATGCCGGCCTTTAAGGAAGGAGTACGCTCTTTTTTTGAAGGTTCTTGGGTCGTATTGGTCCGGAAACACTGCTGGCGACAACATATTCCACAGTTTTGTCGTACGTGGTAAAAAATTTCGACAAAAACGCACGGTTGTGGATAGCCACGCATCAAGATGATGGGGATGAAATTTTTGTCGCGATGTACGATGGCGAAATGCAGCAGCTGGAATTAATCCGAACAATTCCTCAGAACACTCCCCGTGATAAATGCGATAGAAGATGCAGAGCGAAGCTACATCCCTACGCAAAGCCAAAGGATCAAGCTGATCGGAAAGGTCCTGGTCGTCGACGATTCGAGCCGCTCGGCGCTGGATGCGATCCAAAGGGAGAAGCTGGTACTGGGGTGCCCCCGCCCAAAGATGAGAGCAGTACTACCTATCTTCATCTTCATCATCATTATTCTAATGTCCCTAAAATAACTGCTGGGACACAGGCCTTCCCTATGGATGGAATAGCAAGATTAATAATAACAATAATACCTACCTTGTCGTACCAGAATTGTCATCAGGCTGTACTGTCAGTAATTCCGTCTGGTACGTGTGTAGCTCTTCGGATCCGAGTGGCAAGTGCTCGGTAAGGTCGGATAACAACCGACGCACGATGTGGCAAGAAGTGTGGCTGCCACTACGCCGTGTCCAATGCTGCACCAGATAAAATCTCAATAGAAGAGAGGTATGACATAGACAGTTTTGTAAAGCTTTTTTTTACATATTTTTCGTTACATAAAATATCTTCTAACACAGTACACCAGGGCCGGATTTAGGATTGTGTTGGCCCCGGGCCACTTAGGATTTGTATGCTTGTTAACCCATCGAAATTTTGTTATCTTTTATCCTGTTGTGGAGGCCCCGGGCCACTTAGGATTTGCCTGCTGGTTGACCCATCGAAATTTTGTTATTTCTTAAGCTGTTGTGGAGGCCCCTGGGCCACAGCCCCACCTGCCCTGCCTTTAATTCGGCCCTGAGATTAATATAATCAAATAATCATGTATGTTAGATGTACAAAGTACTGTAGGCTGTATGTAAAGGAAAAAGAGCAAAAAAAATTTCAAAGGAAAAGATGTTTACTAGTGTTTACTAGTTGGAATTTGAAAGATTTTTTTTCTCTATTGTGGGGGCCCCCCGTTTGTGGAGGCCCCCGGGCTTTCGCCCCGGTTGCCCTCCCCTAAATCCGGCAGTGCAGTACACTATATGAAAAAACTACATGTAAGTACAACGAAAAAATGGACATTCGATTCCTCAAAAAGATAAACGCTTAGTTTGCATTGGGGTTATGGTTACTATTTAAAACTTTGAAAAGTCTTGACAAAAAGTCGGACATTTCCATAAAAGTTCAGACATTTTAGTCACTAAATACAAACATCACCCACTTAGTTACAGTGATATTATACGCTTGGTAGCAGACGCTCGAGTGCAGTGGCGGCGCTAGGCGTCGGCGACGACGGTCTCGCGCCAGAGGGGGCCTCGCAAAAAATTATTACAAGTTACCTATTTATTTTCGTTTCTCCTGGCCTAGCTTAGGTAGCCGATTTGTAAATCAATTCTGAATTGAATCAAGTTAAAAGTACTGCCGCTTAGAAGTCCCCGTCCACTTACTTATGTAGGTATACTAAAACAGTATTAGGATGATGGCGATAATTAAAGTTCATTTGACAACGAATTATAATTGGTAGCAATATAATGTTCTCTACTTTGTGATTCTTTTTATTTTACAAATAATGTTGTGTATTTTTTTTGTTTCTATCTCATTTAATTAATCGTAGATGTCTACCATGGTTGTTCAGCGTATATTGGTGATCCAACAATTTTTAGTATTGTGTTAGAAAGAAGATTTAAACCAGAGCTGATTTTGTAGACAATGTGACATACACATGTCTGGGCAAATCCGGTCGGATGGTACCCCTAATTGGGGCCACCATTCACAAGACGGGTGTGTGTTCGTGCGCACAAGTGTAGCCCGAAAGTGGTAGAAATAGGCATAAATACACACACCGCCGAATGTACGAACTAGGTCGGGCATAGGCAGACGCGATAGTACAAGACGGGTGTGTGTTCGTGCGCACCAGTGTAGCCCGAAAGTGGTAGAAATAGTCATAAATACACACACCGCCGAATGTACGAACTAGGTCGGGCATAAGCAGACGCGATAGTACAAGACGGGTGTGTGTTCGTGCGCACCAGTGTAGCCTGAAAGTGGTAGAAATAGTCATAAATACACACACCGCCGAATGTACGAACTAGGTCGGGCATAGGCAGACGCGATAGTACAAGACGGGTGTGTGTTCGTGCCCACCAGTGTAGCCTGAAAGTGGTAGAAATAGTCATAAATACACACACCACCGAATGTACGAACTAGGTCGGGCATAGGCAGACGCGATAGTACAAGACAGGTGTGTGTTTGTGCGCACCAGTGTAGCCCGAAAGTGGTAGAAATAGTCATAAATACACACACCGCCGAATGTACGAACTAGGTCGGGCATAGGCAGACGCGGCGGGCATAGGCAGACGCGATAGTATAAGACGGGTGTGTGTTCGTGCGCACCAGTGTAGCCTGAAAGTGGTAGAAATAGTCATAAATACACACACCGCCGAATGTACGAACTAGGTCGGGCATAGGCAGACGCGATAGTACAAGACGGGTGTGTGTTCGTGCCCACCAGTGTAGCCTGAAAGTGGTAGAAATAGTCATAAATACACACACCACCGAATGTTCGAACTAGGTCGGGCATAGGCAGACGCGATAGTACAAGACAGGTGTGTGTTTGTGCGCACCAGTGTAGCCCGAAAGTGGTAGAAATAGTCATAAATACACACACCGCCGAATGTACGAACTAGGTCGGGCATAGGCAGACGCGATAGTACAAGACAGGTGTGTGTTTGTGCGCACCAGTGTAGCCCGAAAGTGGTAGAAATAGTCATAAATACACACACTGCCGAATGTACGAACTAGGTCGGGCATAGGCAGACGCGGCGGGCATAGGCAGACGCGATAGTACAAGACGGGTGTGTGTTCGTGCGCACCAGTGTAGCCCGAAAGTGGTAGAAATAGTCATAAATACACACACCGCCGAATGTACGAACTAGGTCGGGCATAGGCAGACGCGGCGGGCATAGGCAGACGCGATAGTACAAGACGGGTGTGTGTTCGTGCGCACCAGTGTAGCCCGAAGTGGTAGAAATAGTCATAAATACACACACCGCCGAATGTACGAACTAGGTCGGGCATAGGCAGACGCGATAGTACAAGACGGGTGTGTGTTCGTGCGCACCAGTGTAGCCCGAAAGTGGTAGAAATAGTCATAAATACACACACCGCCGAATGTACGAACTAGGTCGGGCATAGGCAGACGCGATAGTACAAGACGGGTGTGTGTTCGTGCCCACCAGTGTAGCCTGAAAGTGGTAGAAATAGTCATAAATACACACACCACCGAATGTATGAACTAGGTCGGGCATAGGCAGACGCGATAGTACAAGACAGGTGTGTGTTTGTGCGCACCAGTGTAGCCCGAAAGTGGTAGAAATAGTCATAAATACACACACCGCCGAATGTACGAACTAGGTCGGGCATAGGCAGACGCGGCGGGCATAGGCAGACGCGATAGTACAAGACGGGTGTGTGTTCGTGCGCACCAGTGTAGCCTGAAAGTGGTAGAAATAGTCATAAATACACACACCGCCGAATGTACGAACTAGGTCGGGCATAGGCAGACGCGATAGTACAAGACGGGTGTGTGTTCGTGCCCACCAGTGTAGCCTGAAAGTGGTAGAAATAGTCATAAATACACACACCACCGAATGTTCGAACTAGGTCGGGCATAGGCAGACGCGATAGTACAAGACAGGTGTGTGTTTGTGCGCACCAGTGTAGCCCGAAAGTGGTAGAAATAGTCATAAATACACACACCGCCGAATGTACGAACTAGGTCGGGCATAGGCAGACGCGATAGTACAAGACAGGTGTGTGTTTGTGCGCACCAGTGTAGCCCGAAAGTGGTAGAAATAGTCATAAATACACACACCGCCGAATGTACGAACTAGGTCGGGCATAGGCAGACGCGATAGTTACTGTGAAAGCCGCCTCCGCATATTACTGAAAATCTACAGTCATCATCATCATCAGCCTATTAATGTCCCCACTGGTAGGGCACAGGCTTCCCTATGGGTGGAATAGGGAGATTGGGCCATGACCCACCACGCGGGCCCAGTGCGGGTTGGTGGGTGCTAACGACTGCAGATGCAGCCGGGACCAACGGCTTAACGTGCCTTCTGAAGCACAGAGGAGCTCGAGATAGTAAATTTTCGGTCACCCATCCAATGACCGACCACTGCGAAAGTTGCTTAAATTCAACGATCGCTGCGGAACGCGCTAACCACTTACGCCATCGAGCTCCTCAAAATCTACGGTGTTAATCAGTTATTGCTGTTGTTGAGAAACGTCTCCAGCGCTGAAAAAGGAATAAGGCCCGTATTATAGAAAGATTCTCAGTGATTGATCTAGTCTTGAGCGTAATTAGAAAGGGATGTCGCTATATATAGCACATAGCGACATCCCTTTCTAACTGTACTCAAGTAATGATCAACACTTAGTTGTCATTCTGTAATACGGGCCTAAGACTCAAGCCGGCAAGATGATGGTAATTGCACATTTATGTCAGCATCAGCTGTTTTCGCAGCCGGATTTGACTAAACTCGCATCAGGAGAGATGCAGTTAGGTATAACATGAACACAGATTTTTCTTAGCAAGCAACTTGTTCCTAACTGTCGCCCCTGACACCAACGAACTGCTAATATGCTGGCTGCTAATATTTAACTTATCCATTATCCCTCCATCACCTTTTCTTCAGAGGACCACGCGCGCTGGCTTACGTTGCCACCGAGTTACTGTGGCCACTATTCCTACACGAACAAAGAAATTTGGTGACTCATTTCTTTGTCGTACTATTCGTAAATGGAATTCTTTACCCGCGCAAGTGTTCCCACCTTCCTATAATCTGGGGTCCTTTAAGAGAGGCGTGAAGAATCATTTTTGCAGGCCGGCAAGGTGAGGATGATTGGTGTAGCAGTTTATAACTGCTGTACCAGCTATCTTCGCGTTTGGACTTTATTACCACTTAACATCAGGTGGGGTAGAGTCGTTTGCCTACCTCTATATATATATAAAACTAAGATGTTGTATGATTATAAGAGTAATGTCTAAGGCTCAAATGAATAGAATACATTAACATTCTCACGTGGTTGTGAGGGACTGTTGGCTCGATAGACGGCACAGTAGGCATCTTCAGTAAAACAGATGCATTATATATCCTAGGAGATAAGGCTGAGGCTGCGACAGCCGACGCCGCCGCTCCGTCTATCACTACCAACCGCATCGGCTCAACTGGCGGTCGGTTCGAGAAATACGCAGATTTGTAGCTAGAACCCTCGCTGCGAAATAACAAAGGCTTCAATTTTAGTCTTCGCAACGCTTGTCGCCACTGTGTCACGCCGTTTTTATTATAATAAAAGGGTGGCAAACAAGCAGAAAAACGACCTTTTCGAAGGTGTCGCCTAGTCGAGAGGTCCCGGGTTCGAATCCCGGTGGTGGCAGATGTTTGTGTGATGAATACGAGCATTTGTACTCCAGTCGTGGATGTTAAATATGTATTTCTATATAATGTATCAGTATATGTATTCTATCCGTTACCCTAGTATACTATAACACAAGCCTACAGTGCTTTTTTGGGGCTAGGCAATTGGTGTGAGTGTTGGAAATATTTAACCTTTTTATTATTATTTGGTCCGCATGATGGTAAGCGGCCAGCATAGCTTATAGACGCTTGTCATACCAATATTACTCGCGCCGTTGCCTACTTTAACGTATTTCTCTACCACCCTGAGCCCTGAAATCTTACACACCGATAGAAACACACAATCACCAAAAAGGAGTGTAATTTTACTGCGTCTTGTAAGGTAGAGGTTTCGACCCCGACGGGCGTTCCAATTCGAGGAGTAGTATACTTAGTAACGATTTCTGTTGGTGGGTAGATAAGGTTCCACGCCCCACTGGGTACGGGATTGCGTTCTAGACTTGCTGTCTTGAACGCAAAGGCTAACTTTGAACGCAACTGTCTTTGGTTGACTGTAATCCGCCGGCCAAACGGTTGTAATCCACGCGCTCCAACCGCAGAGGTAAACACGCGCCCGTAATCCAAGGACGTGGAAGGTCAAATCAAAATTTGGATTACATCCTTCGTCTAGATGGATGGCAACGGGCAAGGTCACCTTGGTTGGTGCGCTGGATTACATCCGTCTAGAATAGGCTTAAGGTGACTGGAGCTCTATCTACACCACTTAACATCATCAAAAAAGTGTCACATCATTATCCCAATTGTTAGCTGCTTGACAACTCTTGTTTAAACACGGTTGTATTTACATATACCGGACCGGTGCTATTAGCGTGTCCTTCCTATAGCGCCATGAACGTTTTACATACAATTTAACATTCTACAAGCAAGTCGCAAGTTGCGATCTCACAACGGAGTCGGGCGCGGGTGAAAATCGCTCCGTGAGTTCTTAACCTTACTGTTCCATATTTAGTACTGCAAGGCCTCTTGTTAACGGGTATTGTATCAGATACCGAGCCGGAGCGATATGCTTGTCTTTCTCTAGCGATACCTTGCTAGAGAAAGACACCGAGTGCGCCGGGTGCCTCGTCAATGCCTCGTCCGATATTCTTTTGTTAAGTTTACCAGCGTGACTGCGTCGTACCGCATAAACTGCAGTCGCGTGAGTTTTGATATAAAATTCGCCTTGTCCTACTCTGATAGAGTTTAAAACAAACCTCTGCTTGAGCAAGTGGTAGCATGAGCGGTAAGGAGAGGGCGGGCGGGACGGGGAGAGGCGCAGGGGACTGACGGACGGGCTTCGTAGGCGCTGTCTTGAGCAGCTGGTTGCTGTAACTGCTGCCCTGTACCACAGATTAAAAGGTGACGCATGTTAAGTTAGGAATAGTGTAATCAAGTAATATAGTAATCCCAGTAAATTGGGCAAGTAAGGTTTTTTAGCATTTCTTTCAATCCATATTGTTTTTAAAGATCAACACGTGTTTCCATGAGTACTGATATAAATTGTATGGACGCATTATGTCATCAGTGACCACGCCAGTACTCTTCTTGCTGAATCGTTACAAGTGAATATTACAAAAAGTTTTGGTCCAGCGAAACTGACAAAAAAGTAGCATGAGTAGAAAGAAGGGCGAGGATGGGCGAGAATGGGAAAGGTACGGGGGACAGGGATGTGCTGCACGGGCGCCGCCTGGCGCTGCTACCCTGCGTCACAGATTATTAATAGTCGGGCCTTATACCCTAACAGATCCAATACGTAAAACACGTCACACCTACAAAACTGTTTACGTAGCTGCAGCAGCCAGCCGACCCGAATCGCGAGCGCCGAACTATACAACAAACGAAGTACTCTACAGGCTACTCCGGCAGCATCACAAAATCGGATTTGCGACGAAGAGGGTTTCATTAGAGTGGAAAGGAAAAAGAGGAAGCCCACTCGCCACAATCTGTGTGGTGCCGCCCCGACTGAACCATCTGCTGCGTCCTGCAATACCAACGACAACACTCTACAAAGGAAGAGGAGATTGTAGAGTACCTGCGGATTAAGACCAAATTCTCCCTGAGTCGCACGGTTGGAGTCCCGTCATAATGTAAATTTTAATTCCTTTGTGGTGCCGCCAGTGTCGACCGAACACCTGGCGACTTTCATGAAAGAAGATTTTTGACCAAAAGGTGTTGTGTTACGGTGGTCAGCCGGCTACGTGACACCACTCCGCATCACACGTCGCCGTCTTTACGTGTTAATTAGGTTTCTAATAACATAGTTAGTAATTTTATTTACTAATATTTAATATATAACCTTTATCTGTATATATGTTAGACTACAAGGTATCTATCTATCTATCTATGGGCCTATATTGCCGGATTATAAATAAATAAAAACAAAACTGAACAGATACTTCATCATCATATCAGCCGTACAACGGATTTTCACCAGTGCCGTCTTTGACCTATTGGAGGCCCTGGGCATATTAGGATAATGGGGCCCCTATGACCCCCGTTTGGTGATTTAACAGGAACTAGGGACTTTGTATTTGATCTGAGGGGGGCCCCTATCGATCGCGGGGCCCTGGGCACTTGCCCAAAGTGCCCACTAGGAAAGTGGGGTCTGATCTTCACACTGATCGGTGCTGCGAAAGTCGCATCTAGCGCCTTCCCACGATCTTCACTAGATCATCGATCGATGCTTCAGTAAACTCAGTTTATTAAGATCCCCTTTCCATTGTTACAGCACAAATATATCCATCGATATAAGAAAGATTGAATTTGATTGTGGCAAGTTCCTTTATCTCATACTTAACCAAATAAATCGGTAATGCTAGTAGCGTGTGGTAATAGTATTCCAGCTGGATATGTGGCTGGTGAGCGTTTTTGCAAGCAACTTCCAGCAAAGCTATCAATAGGGGATATAATCCGCTTTGATAGGTTATCGAAACTACGGGTAACCAAAAGAAAAGTTTACTAGAAAAAAATCCACGCGGCCGTGGTAGCATAATGTTCAGTGCATTCGCCCGGATTGCGAAGGGTGCGGGTTCGAGTCCCGTCCGCTGCCTGGTCAGCGTGGATTTTTTTCTATTAAACTTTTCTTTAGATTTAAACATCTAGCAGTTAAATGCTTAAAAATAAATAAAATACGGGTAACCAAGTTAAACAAATTACGTGTACTTTGAAAGGTAATCGAGTATCTGTAGCCGGTTTCTAGTCAGTTTTCCCAGATGTTGTGTAAGAAGGTCCATTAGTGGGTAAACTTACCGTACCGGAGAAGATCGGGAACGAAGTATTTTTGGAGACTTACAGCTGCGGGGCCGCATACGAGAGCGCGGCGGCCGCGAGGTGCACAATGAATTTTCAGCCGCAATCATTTTTGTGGTCAGGGATTTCGTATCAAAACGGACATCGGATAAATGTGTTATAAAATACAATGAGAAACTTTTTAAGAATACTACATGACATCTATGATTATTGTAAATAAACAAAGTGACTGCTGTCTCGACTGTCTCTAAAGAGAGTTATCTATATTTTTCATTGGTTAGCTCTTTGCCCCACTTATTCTTCTCTATCATCTCTGTAGCAACGCGATGTTCGACTCTGAGAAAAGCTTCATCCATGTTCGTTTTCTTATTAATTTTATTGCTTTTTATCTATGACTAGTGGCCTGCCCTCGCTTAGCTTCGGTGTAGGGCTGTAGGTTGCTTTCCAATCACAGCATTATAGCGCATTATGCGGCATAATGCTTAACGTTGAGTGTTCCAACTACAGCAACGCTTCGCACTCTCAAAAGTGATGCTTTCGTGTGATGCGTGCAATCCTTTGTTTTTCCTCCGTGGTGCAATCGTACCAACTTAGAGACAGAAAATTAACAAGTGTTTTTTCTTTAAGTTGGCATTGATCGAAATGTTTTATTTATATGTTATCGTTAGTAATATTATTTATTGTTGATAAATTATTAAAGCTTTCGTTTCATTAAATAGTTTTTTTTAAATAATCAAAGTTTATTCAAACTGTTAAAAAATAAATATAAGTATGGATGAAGGTACAAACATTGACTTTTTTTTTTCAACACTGAACTTAGCGCATTCTGCTGGTGCATTTGAAAACTAATTCACATTGTGCGGCACTGAGTCGCATTATGCTCTGTAATTGGAAAGCAAGCGTAGTGTAGACTAAAATGACTCTTCATATAATTATAAAAAAAAACTGACATTGGTATATTTGCCTTGTGGCGACTTTGCACCGCTTAAAAGTTGGTCCATGTCGCCATACAGCCAGTGTCAATGGACATTCCGTAGGCACTGGCACATTAGAAATTAAGTTTTATAATTATGTTCTTTTTGATATTTTCTGTTGAATTTTTAATTGTCATTCTAAAAAAATATGATTGAGCGAAGCGATGGCTGGTTCATGCGTCATGCTCATGAACGGGTGCTGCCATGAGGCGAGTCTGCCCTAACAACTTTGATATTTAAGATGTAAATGTTTAATTACACCTATTATAAATAACTCTATTTGAATTTATACTGTGTGACACAGCAAACAAAATGCAGGTGAACAATTAATGTATAATTTCACATTATGTAATGAAAGGTGACTTCTCTGAAGTCATTTTTCAACTTGACGACTCTGTAAATGATAAAACCAGGGAGAAAAAAACAGCCCTTGCTGAGTTTCTTGCCGGTTCTTCTCAGTAGGTCTCCCGCCGTAGATTTACGAACCGATGGCGTAGCTTCCAGACATTCATATGAGCTTGTAACAGCCTAAACTGAATAAATGATTTTGATTATGATAATGCTATTTTTGCATCTGGACTGCACTATTACATAACATTAAGTGAGGTAGTCATATTTGTCGGACATTTTATAAAATGTTTTTTTTTAAATGATACCTAATACTCAGTTCAGAGGAGCTCGATGGTGCGAGTGGTTCGCGCGTTCGGCTGCGATCGTTAAACTTAAGCAACTTTCGCAGTGGTCGGTCATTGGATGGGTGACCAAAAATGACTATCTCGAGCGCCTCCGTGCTTCGGAAGGCACGTTAAGCCGTTGATCCCGGCTGCATCTGCAGCCGTTAGCACTCAACAATCTGCACTGGGCCCGCGTGGTGGGTCATGGCCCAATCTCCCTTTTCCATCCATAGGGAAGGCCTGTGCCCCAGCAGTGGGGACATTAATAGGCTGATGATGATGATGATGATGACGATGATGATGACTCAGTTCATAATTACGTTCTTAAGTTAATTGAATAATAAAAAGGCTTCATCTGAACACAAAAACCGGACTTTAATTTAAATATTAATAAACCAACAAGAATTCCATACAGGAAAGTAAAACAACGGTTTGATGAATAGTTTTATTAAATGGTGACACGACACATGTTAAGTCAAGAATAGTGTAATCAAGTACATAGTAATTCCAGTAAAATTAAAACGCAAGGAATAATTTGTGAGAGAGAATTTTTGAGCATTTGCATTTTAATTGGGTTACGGTTCTGTAATATTCCAATACATTCTTTGATAGTACGCACGGCCCTCAATAAAAGGACGTATCATATCGTCACTGAACTATCCAAACCCATCTTGCTCAATTCGCCGCTATTTACAAAAAAAAAAGAAACAGAATCAGTAAACTGATAAAAAACCGACAAAACAGTGTAAAAGTACAAATACTTTGAATGAAATTACAACATAGTAAGTACCTAATAATAATTTGGACGATACCGCTAATAATATAAGGAACAGCGAGAGAGATATTGAAACATTGTACGCAGATTGAACTACAGATGCACATTATTATTAAACTACTGTGATAAAAAGGTTTTATAATGACGATTGAAAATTGTAACACACATAATACGTTATTGCACGACATCCATCCAGGACAACGGGGTACAATGATTACACTGACATTTATAACATCGATAAACAGCATGCAAAAGACAATGTTTCTTAGAGAAGAAAATGTATTTAAAAAAGAAAAAAAAAGGCAAACGAAAGAGACAAACAAAAATCGTCGAATATCGTCTTAAATTTAAATTTATCTGATCCTTCAGATGGAATTACAATGCCTTACAATACAGTGGTTCGCTCCAATTAACTTCAGCGTGCAACGACTTAACACATCATTTTATTCTAACATCCTAGCTACATTTTCGTTAAATTAGTTATTATTATCGTATGAAATCTACATCCCACAAACATTTTCAAAAATTTAACAATCTAGATGGCGTCGATCCAATTTACAATAACAACAATATTTCGTTCCCAGATCGTTGCAAGTAACCTTTTCAATGCAGCTAACTAGCTAAACATCAGTACACCATTAATTGTCAACCAACCATAAAGAACGAGAAAACACTAAAAATGTCTACAACAGGAATCAAATCGCAAGCCTAGTTCGATGTTTCTGAATATTAGAAGTAGGTAATAAATGTACAATAGTTAGTACACAGTAGGTAGTAAATGTATCCAAAAATAGAGCAGGTAAAAAACGTATTGACACGAGTCGAAATTACCGAGTTGACAATCGACGGAATATACTTAGACAACAACATCAGTACAAATTCCAATCCTACTTATATTAAAAGGTGGTGGATCGAGCATTTGATGCCCAACGGTACCACTTACACTATATCCCGCCTAATAACTGACGATATCATTAATTTCACTAATAAAAAATTAACATAAATAAGTACACAACTCGACATGAGAGAACTTAAGGCTAAACACAAAAATTATAATACTGTTGAATATAAAACGACGCTTTCGTAACTCGTTACAGTGTTCGCGGTAGATGGAGCAACCGCCAATATAAGTCGCGGCACGACACTCTGTCGCTGACCGTTATTGCGCAGGAGTAAAAATTAAGATGGCTTGGGGGGAAACGAGGTGCGCGGGTGGGCGTGCGTTGCGCCGATTGGCTCTCCAGTCGTAGCTATCCCCTCCGCGTTTTGTTGAGCGCTAAAGTTACGTGTCGCGACCTATACATTACGCATTGGTATTTGTTCAAATCACATGATAACATTACCGAATACTCAAAATAAGTAAACATCAAATAAACCAGACAGGGGTGTCCATTCTAAATGTTGGCAAATATAAAGGTGGTATTGAGATGTAGAGAGATAGTGAAGTATATTTCTAATAAGAAAATAATTCTATTAAAACAAGTTTACGAATAAGTTCGAGTATTCGGCTAGTTACATGCATTCCCATCGCTCTTTTAGATAGGGAATTTATCGAATTACTGCAACCACCTAAACTAACCGAGATACAAAAAAATAAATTACAAATAAATGGTAATACCATAGCTCTTATCTGACTAACTTAATCTAAGATTCGAGTCGGAAAGTCACAACACCTATTACAATGGGTTACATCGATTATATTTAATGGGATCATGTAATGCATAGGAGTTTCAGAAGAGCTTTGAGTTTTCATCAGGCATTTGATCTCACAAAGGAAATTAACACAACACACAGTGAATGCCGCTACAACTGCAGATGCCTCATCGAAATCAAGAACTCAACATGAGCATTTACAACGTGTCAATTCAGTTTTGTAAGATAAGTGTAACAGTGACATAGACAGTAGATATAATAGCTGAGATTACCGAAGAATTGCCGAGACAAATGACATTGCACTACATGTCCCGTGAATCTTATGAGTTAAGCAGTCTCATCGTACATAACATGGTGAGCATATGCATGTACGACCCTAACCGCCGCTTGGTATGCCCTCCACTGTTCAATTTACTTGCATATGCTCCTTTCCACTCACGCATAGTATACAATCTCGTCACAATGTTGGAATGCGACTGTTACGAGCAAATTCCGCAGTTTCACTAAGCGCAATGAATAACCATGACAAATCAATTTAAAAAAAAAAATCAGATATCAAAACTCAGAACGGGGATATAGAATACTGGAAATTGCTTGCTGTTAAAATTAAAAAAAAAAACTCATTTCAGTAATTATTTTTCGTAGCCAGTGCGTAATGTTTGAATGAACATTAACTGTTATTTATTTTGGCAATGCAACTCTTACGCCTAATATTAAAAAATTTAAACCTTAATAGAAAAAATAAAACTAATACTTTTTAAACACTAAAGCTGAAGTCCTCTTGACATTTCCCTTCCGTAAACAATTTTAAAACAAAAAATATTGATAAGAAACAGACTGCCATCTAGTTGGGCACTTTGCACTAGAATAGGTGTTAACGAAACCACTACCGAATTCAGTAGCTCTGACCGATCTTCAAAGAAATAAGTTCACATTTTTAAATTGCAGAACCCCGCGCGTTTCCTTACCTAAAACCTGGCAAAACGGGCGACGACTAACATCGATCCCTTCGCTAATTGTAACTAATATCCCCCTCTTGGACAAGACCTCGTAATGGGCTAGTGACGTGTCTCTCACCTAATTCCACACCCCTTGGGATTTTAAGCCTTCCTGTTGGCTCAAGAAGACGTCCTGAAAAGTTTGACTTAGGCTGAAGCAGAACAAAAAAGATAACAAATCCTATACTATTAATTACATGGGTGATCATTTCCGAGGACTTAGTTTAACACTTATGTACTATTTTATAACACGACTCGACTACTAAACATTAATCTAACAACGCTCTAAGATCGACTCTATAATTATAACCTGCACTTATCTATTACGGATTTTACATGTGAACTATGACATCAACGACTATGTACAACTAACTTTACAAGGTTTATCTATAGAAAAATACCAAGGTGTAATGTCTGAAAATTTCAATCACTGCCCGAGTGTGGACTGAAACGTAATGGTTGAAATTTCCATCTTTACGAACGCAATCTGGTGAATTATATATGAGGTGGCTCACGTAGTTTAGTAGGGCTGAGTTGGAAAGCCCCGCGGCCGAAGAACTGCCTGCCTCGTTCTGGGTGTTAAGGGGTACACAGCAAGACATAATCCGCTGCGTACTAAGGACGAGGTGGTGGTACCTACGCAGCCGAGCGTCCAGGCCAAGGTATGACGACTCTACCACCAGTCAGAAGAAATTCAGGTTGAACATTAAAACAAAACAATATCTCCCAACAAAACTACGCCCTAAAAAAAGCAATTTAAGAAAACTTAAACCTGATAAGGTGGACGATTAAAAAGCCAAAAATTAACACTCGACACGGTCGAACTGTGAACCTAACGATGGGAAGGCTAAAGTGAATAAAAACATTGTAAAATCAGACAAGCACTGAGGAAGCTGTAGGGATATTAAGTCAGAGTTGGTATTGCTTAACTAATGGAAGACGCTTGTAATATTTACGCCGGTGCTGACATAGAATGCGAAGGTGATATGGGCCGGCAAACGGACTGCCTGGCCTTAGGCGTGCTTGTGACGTCACAGACTTCACAAGCGCGTAATCGCTGACGATGAGGACTGAGTTGTTGCGCCTCGATGCTCCGCGTATGACCTGGAACCCGCATCATCCGCTCTCGGAACTAGGATCTGACGGTAAGCCACACCGCTTGCCCAGCCGGAATATACGCGGGGGTGGTCGCCATCCAGTCGGGCCTTGAGCTAGGCCCTACCACCAGCTTAACAAATTGAGCCCCCGCTCAAATTTTCTTGCGAAGTGTTTCCTTTACTGGCTTACAGCGTTCTTTCAGTTGCATTTGTAAAAATTCTAGAAATAAAATCTTTAGAAAAATATAGCGTACACCTCTGAATAAACGTCGTAAAGACCCTCGGTACGTGAAAGTTGTAAAGGTTTCCAAAAAGTTACAAACACCATTACAAAAATAGGCAGACGTTATAAAACACTCCCATTACCGATGCGTCCTGTTTTGTTGCTCAACTCGATGGACCTGTTTTGCCAGATTTTCACGGCTTAGCATCTCTGCTCGCAGCCGACACTTTGCGAACTTATCACACCAAAAAGTCGGTCAGAGGTACCAAAACAGATCCCCCTGCACGCCAAATCCTTCCTGTTGTTAAACAAACTGTAAGCACCAACTTTCTCTCTTAAAAAAAAAACAATTAAAACCAAGAAATCGTAAAATCACTTTCGAAGATGAAATACTAACATCTAATAAGTATTGTTGTAAATTAAGTTGGCAGAAGTTGTAAGTCACCGAGTACAATTATAGACAAATCAATTATGATGACACACAAGTTACTAATGCGGAATTTGCTCACGTAAAACACGTTTAAATAATAGAATTAAATAAATTATAACCAAATTTAAAACTTTCGAAGCTCGAAAAAATTATAGGTCTAATAAAGCGCCATGCGCATTGAAATCTTACATAACTATATTAAATTCGTATAAAATAAATGGTACGACAATTCAAATAAAGATAATCATGCGCTAGGCTTAATTCTTGTAACGCAAATAAGACTGATGCAGTGTATAATGAAAACGAAACCTTATACTTAGTTTTTGATCTACTTCAAAAACGAACAATCAGGGCCCTCCGTTTTCAAAGCAGGTCAGCGATCTTATCTACACACGCCCCGAGCGAAAATACACACGCACATCATACGCACACATTTTTGTTTTACAAATAAACAGAACTAGCCCATCACACACATTTATGCCTGGGCTCGAACACAATGAATAGTTATAACATCCCAAACCGCCATAAGTACAAATGAACCGAGTTTGTGATTGAACAAGTTCGCCAATATGTGTCGGAAAGAAAAATTGCAGTCGAAAGGGGAGAACCCTCTTCAAATGAGTACCTTCATTCATTCGCCAACATCATGTGAGCTAACTATCAGTACATACACTTTAAGACTACCAAATCGATCGGCTTTCCGCGCCTGTTCCGTACGATATCACTTCCTCGATGTTTAACCGACTTCTGGGTGCATCCCCGGAAGGAGAAGAAGATAGTAAGAAAAGGGGTGTGTGTCGATCGATGTTGCCGTAAGGACTGAGTTGTTATGCCTTGTGCCTTAAACAAAAACTGCCATCTCTCATCTAAGCTTTGGTACAACTCCAAGTTGAGTTGGTGCTTAGGTGTTGGGCGATGAGAGGGTGGTACCCACGCAGTCGAGCCTGCAGGCGATGTCAACGGCTCTCCCACCGGTTTGCAATAAAAAAATACAAAATTACCCCGATCTACCCGTTTCCCCGTGGAGCTCTGGTACCTTACTCACACGCAACACTTTAGTACCCTTAGTACGAGTTTGATCTTACGAAAACTATCATAGTTTTCGTAATTGTAAATTATATTTCTATGTCCATTTTGGTGAAAAGTGTCCAAATATACTTAAAATTTAAGAAGATACAAATGATTTAATGCTAGAATTTAAATACTGTTTATTTGTATTGAAACGAAAACAATAAAATCAACGAGTGCGAGCTCACGAAAACTATCATAGTTTTCGTAATTGTAAAACTCGTACTAAGGGTACTGGAGTGCTATTGCTGTCTCCTGTAAGGTGGAGGTTTCTTCCCCAGACGGGCGCTCCAATTCTAGCGGAGAAGCCGCTGTGCCCTCCCTCTCTTTGAGATAAACACAAAGGAATAGAAATATTTGTACTCCTGTTCATGGGCAGTCGCTTAAAAATGGCAACATCGGTTACACGACCACGTTGCTGTTTGCGTGTAGTTGGTGGAGACCGATCGATCTACCTATAGTGACGTATTTGTTCGGAGATTTCAATATTATCTTCGACTTAAAGGACTTGTATAAAAATCTACGAGACATCAATTGAGCAATCTTCATTTTTATACATAGAGTAATATTTTTATAATAATAAATGATTATTACAATACGAACGATACACACGTCAAGTCTATATTTTAAACCGTCTAAAATATGCAACTTCAGCAATTCAGTTTTTTTTATATATATATATTTAACCGGTGTATTTACAAAATTGATATATATATATATGTAACAGTTAAATACATTTAAAATACACGCAATACAATATACCACGTGTAAATATGGTTACAAAATTTGATCAGTCCTTTTGAATGTTTCCCAAGCACGTAACAAATTTAACCCGACCCATAAAAACTACACGTAATCAAGTTTACGATAAACGTTACTTACTATTAATACATATAAATATATTTACATTTAAATTCTAGACACCAAGCCACTGTAATTGGATACGACATTCATTAGCGAAGCGAATAAATGAAGGCACTCTCAAACAATACAAAGCGAGGTATTTTCAGTTGTATGTATCGTTAAAAATATTTATAATAATAAACGCCCGCTGGCAGTGTATGTTTTGTTATTTATGTACAATTAAAACTATTATGTGCATGTGTATAACGATATTAACGATATCTAGAAAGCACGTGAATGCCGGAAACCAAATATTTATATAATTAATCACCTTTGTTGTAAAAACATGACGTGTATGTCAAATGTGTTAGTTTAATATGACAACAGAATATATCATGAGTTTGGAACGAGTGAACTGTTAATAAATTAACAGTATAATAATCATCATCATCAGCCTAAAAATTTCTCCTCTGCTGGTGCGCAGGCCTTCCCTATGGATGGAATAGGGAGATTGGGCCATGACCCACCACGCGAGCCCAGTGCGGATTGGCGGGTGCTAGCGACTGCAGATGCAGCCGAGGCCAACGGCTTAACGTGCCTTCCGAAGCACGGAGGAACTCGAGATAGAAGACTTTTGGTCACCCATCCAATGACCGATCACCGCTAAAGTTGCTTAACTTGAACGATCACAGCCGAACGCGCTAACCACCCGCGCCATCGAGCTCCCCATTAAATGAATACAAAGTTACAAAGAATGTCTCTCAGACTTTTTTTTATTGTGTATAGGAGTTTTTTTCTTCACGGTTGTTATTTAAAATTCACAATGCTATAAACAATAAATATGAAACACTCAACCGACATTTATACATATTTTTAAAACAGAGGTGTAATTTAATTGTCTCTTTGTCTCCCCAATTGCTATACGACAGTCCTGTACATAAAAGATGCTGCTTGTCCCAAATTCGTTGCAATACATAGTACATATACCAATTTCAATCTTTCTGCTTCCATAAAATGCTTACTCTCCGCTTTATAATTTCAAACAAACGCAGCTTGACTTAAATAAATAATTCTTGATTGCTTATTCATACTATTAAAATAATAGGTGTGTAACATATACCAGCAAATATACAGCTATCTACTACATACCAGAAGCCATTATATATAGTTTATAATACAAGGTGATATATCAATGGTGCGTATGTGAATATAATGCATTTTATAAACATTTGGGGTAAGGATCAATTCGCATTGCAGTTGAAGGAAAACGTAAACATTGTTATTTACGCACAGTGCTTGTATTTTTATTAACTTTTCTTTGTATGTCTGAGGCTAATAAAGATCAATATCCTAGGAGTGTATAAAACAAATTATTCTTCCATCGCCTGCCATGTAAATTAATCCGGAGCTGAGCTTTCTCGATCGCCCGAATGGAGTCAATTAATGAAATGAACAAAAAAATGGAATTATAATTTTTAAATATATAATATAAGTATATGTATGAAACGAGCAATTTTTTTTTAAAAAGTTCTATGGCCGATGGCAAATTATAAACTAAATTAAACATAATCACTGAGAATTTATGAACTTCAATATAAAATAACGGAAATTCAACGAAGTAAGTATTTTTATCTTACGTATGCTTCAAAGTATGGTATTTTTTTATAGTCATGTTTAAAATAAACACGACAATATACATGTAATAGAAAAGTATTATATCTTAAATGAATGAATAAAGTAGAGACACCAGATATTTAAATTAGGTTAACTTTAATTTTCAAGGTTAATAAATTAAAGCTAATAAATAAATAAATATGTATCAACTTTAATTCCAATATCGACAATTCCTAAAACAACGAACTTTAATGCGCCTCTAGACTTTCTCATCAAAATGTAAACACTGTTTCGGACATTGCTTATAATAAATAGTTAGTTTATATACACTGAAATTGAAAAGTCTAATTTTACAAAATGCATATTGGCGGTGTGGCTGAGTTTTATAGATTTCGTTCATAGGTTTTGAAACCAACCTACAGAAGTAAAATTTGAGAAACAAATGCACACGTACTAATTGCTAATGTGGTAAAAAACTTAAAAAAAACAATAATAGTAACTATGAATAATGTGCATTATAAGTTTACATATATTTTCACCCGTTAATTGCAAGATTTGTCATATTTGTAAGGTGTGTGTATTAGTGTATTTTTTTAAAACAACCAAATTTTATGCACTCCCGAATCCCGAATGTTTAAAATTTTAAAAAGAAATATTAGCTTAGAGTTATGAATAAATAAATACTGGTTTAGTATCGAAGACAAGGCGGTGAGACGACGGTGGGCCAATTACATTAAACAATTCATCAGCTATTGTTCTATGTGCATATTCCTAAACTGTGTTAAATCAGTTTTTTGAATGTCAACGCGAAAATATTAAAGGTTGTAGAAAAAAGTATAAGGTCCACTGAAGTCAACCTAAATCAACCAATTTAATAATAATATTAATGTGTGTACCATTATTGTGTCACAAAAAAAACTAATCTATTCATAATTAAAATATGTCGAACACGAAAGATTATTTAGTATCACATTATTTTTACAGTATAAAGGAATTGTCAAATTTAAAGAATTTAGAAAGTTTTTAGTAATGTTCCCAGATTTATAAAGTTTATCCCTTGGATTTTTTTTTGACTGATTAATTTAATTGAATTTATTTAACTTATGCATAAATTTAAATTTAAAAGCATGCCATAATATGCCCTAACAAGACTTATGGTGTGATTCGTTTTAATTATATGCAAGACCTTTCAAAACATGACATAATGTTATTAATAAATAAATAAAATATACTTAATCACTCGTCAACCAACCACCTAATACGCAAATCTATATTTACATAGAAAGATCCAAACAGCGCCGCCAAAATATTAAGCTAGGTACATACACAAAGAGTTAATCGATATAAAAATGATATTTCACAAACCCGTAAAAATCGATTTGCTCCCAGCATTCTTATACGCACGGCTTGATGTGAAACGACCTTCCTTCGTTTGTTTTCTGACCGTTGTAATTTGGATTTTTTTACGACGAGAGTAATTATTTACTTAACGGTTTCCCCTATTAAGAACTAAGCTTTTTAGAGGGACTAAGTCCTTAACTATTCTCGTAGTGCAGAACCGAACATTTGATACTGCGGTTATGGCAGAGACTTAGCTTCAACGCCTAAAAAAATAATTCGCTGACTCTATTTCCAGGCGTTGAAGTGAAGTGACTGCAGTATTACGCTGCTATGGAAGCTGCGGCAATTAGAAAGTCATCCAGGTACACCACGCAGAAATGAAAGAAACGCAGAATCTCGAGGCTCCGGAGCTTCAGCGATTCTTCTCTCTTCTGCGACCCAGTTGGTGACTGACGCAATAATACAAGATGCTGCAGACTGCGCGAGTAATTTGGTGGTATACTATCGTAGTTCATCCTGAGAAACTTGTGGTGCTGTCGACCGATGGGTAGTTGAAGGTAAGCTTGACTCAAATCCATATTTACAATCCAGTCTCAAGAATTGAATAAATTCAAAAGTTTACTAAACAGACGAGTGATTTATGAAAATTTTTTGTTGCAACCAAAACAATAATAAGTCTAGACATTTACAATTTTAAATCATTCACTCAAATCATAACTCGTGAACTATGAAAAATCGTGGGACACATCTGGATTTCACAAAACATATTTTTGACGCCACTATTTGCATTTACTTGTTCAGACTTAATACTAAAACGCAAGCATAGGATTGTTCAATGCACACCAGCCCCAATACTCCGGAGCAGGGTTGCTCTGTTCTACCTCCATATGACGGAGACATTTGGGTCGTCCTCTATGATTTGATCTAAGGTCGGCAGATCTATCCGTGCTATGCAGCAGATCTCGTCGGTGCAATGCCTCCCCGTGAAAAGCCTCCGGATACCTAGCATGGAGTCTATCCGGCTGGTGAAACCGTTCGGACGAGGTGGGCCCCTGATGTACACTGGGTACCTGTGGAACAATTCACCTAAGTAAAGAGACTTGAATAGGCTTTCACCTCCCACAAGTACCTAATCAAGACTGAATATTCGTTTTTAACATTATATCGAAAGAAATGAGTTGGTCCTTACCTCTTGAGGCATTTGATGAGACCATGTAGCTGTGCGAATACTACCAGTCGACGGATATCGAACGTGGGGCCAGACGTGCTTGAGTATCTCTCGCATACGGCGCGCAGAGTGGTGCCTTGTTGTAAGGAGCACAAGATTTCCAGCACGTCCGACAGTGTTGGCTACAAAACCAAGTAAATGTCGAACTTATAATAACAACAATAAACAGTATTTGATAAGTACATTACTCAGATCCTAAGTAGCGGCAACATTCACCAGGAGTAACGAAGGTATTTATCAAAAAGATCATAAAATTTATAAAAGTATACAGATAGATATTTTATAAAAGAAAGAGAAAATAAAAGAAGTACATTTTTATGATAGCTCCAACTTTCATACTTTGGGATTAGATTAATTTCTTTCTGTTAGTAAATCGGATAATTACCTTATCTTTGGCTTCAAATCCTTTGGTGATGAATGTAAGACATGATTTTTGTAGTTCGCTGTCACTAAATAGTCTGCTGAGGTTAGGCGTAGCCCGGTACATATTACTGAATTTCAGGACAGGTATAAGGGTTACCTAAAACAAAAATAATAAATTTACCAGGGTTAGGGTTAAGGAGCTGAACAAATTTACTCATAGGTTGTCCACTTGAACAATAACTACACTGAGTCTTTAAATATATTTTAATTTCAAGCATTTCACTGCTAGATTGACAACTCTAAAAGAAAAGTTCATTGGAAAAATCCCAGGCGGTTCAGGCATCAGACGGGATGCAAACTTGCACTTACCGCAATAAATATATTTAAAAATAAATAGCATAGGCAGTAGGGACTGCGGGAAATTCGATACAGCCGTTAAGGTTTCGGTAGCATAATTGGTATTGGGATAGATATGAAAAAATGTAAAATTTGTTTATTTGGATATTTTTTTATAATTATAAATACACTTACCACTCCGTAGTAGACCAAATTCTGTATGCATGACTTCACAAGCGTTTTCTCAACGTTGGTGTCAGCGGCTATTTTTGAAATGTGGTTGTAACCATTAATAAAGGGTAGAAGCTGTAAAACAAAAAAATAAAAATAAAAATCCAGCATGATATTATAATACACGAATATAATAATAACAAAAGGGGCTCAATGACGCAGGTGGTTATCGCGTTCAGTCCGCAATCGCGGAAGTTGACCAACTTTCAATGGCCGGTCATTGGATGGGTGATCAAAAACCTAGTATCTTGAGCTTCTGCATGGCTCTCGGAGGGTACTTCAGACCATTGGTCGTGGCTGCAGTCTTTAGCACCCACCAAACCCCACTCGCGTGGTGGGTCATGGCAATTTCTCCCTATTCCATCTTTAAGGAAAAGGTTCACCTGTCCGGTAGTGAGGTCCCAATCGGCTTTCATGTTATCTTTAAACGGCTTCTAAAGGAAAGGTTAAAGAAGATGATGATAGTCGGTTTTATCATTCATCTATCTGGTTGTGAGATCCCAATCTGCTCTCATGTTATCTTCAAACGGCTTTTAAAGGAAAGTTTAAAAAAATTTAAAGAAGATGATGACAGTCGGTCTTCTCATTCACCTGTCTGGTAGTGTGGTCCCAATTGGCTATCAAGTCAACTTCAAAGGGCTCCTAAATGAAAGGAAAGGTTAAAGAAGAACATGATGATAATCGGTATAATCATTCACCTGTCTATTAGTGAGGTCCCAATCCGCACTCATGTCATCTTTAAACGGAACCTAAAGGAAAGGTTAAAGAAAGAAGAAGATGATGATAGACGATCTCATCAGACACCTGTCAAGTAGTGAGGTCCCAATCGGCACTCTTTTCAACTTCAAAAAACGGCTTCTCCTAAAGGAAAGGAAAGGTTAAAGAAAAAGATGATGATAGACGGTCACATCGGTCACCTTTCTGGTGGCTATCATGTCAACTTCAAACGGCTCCTAAAGGAAAAGAAAGGTCAAAGAAGAAGATGATAATATGCGGTCGCATCGGTCACCTGTCTGGTAGTGAGGTCCCAATCGGCACTCATGTCCACTTCAAATGGCTCCTCGTCCTCAATGTCGAGGTGCTGGCGGTTCTGCTGCGGAGTCCCCTCCGGCGGTGTCTCCCGCTGCGGCCGCAACCGGCCAGGGCGAGGCAGGCCCACCGACGCAACCAGAACGGGCACATCGTGGTCTCCCACCGGCGTTGGATCCTTGCGCACCTCAAGCACTTTCAAATGCATCACCGTGTCCCCCTCTGTTGACAAAAGAGGTATGTATCCCTTTATCAAAAAGTTGGCATTCACTAAGCAGATCGGAATACGCCAGCTGAATATTTTTTGTGAGGCTTCTCTTTCCCAGACATAGCAAATGCCAATAAAGTTGTAGCACCACATACACCAACATTCTTTAATTATATTTAAGCTTAATCGAGTTGATCTTATCAATTCATCCTTGTCAGCAATTAGAATTCAAAGGAGACGGAGTGAGGATATGCGCAAATTCTTGATAACTATATAATGCGAATATCAAGCAAAGAAAAGAAGGCAATATTGAATTGTAGTAATAGTTAAGGACACGGCAGATACTATGTCGCAAACTACGCAGAGCTATGTAGGTACTACATACATACTATTGATACCTTGTACTATGAATAATATAATTATTATTATTAATAATAATAACAATAATTGTAAAAGCTTATTATTAATAATAATAACAATAAATGTTCAGGGACTGGATGGCGTAGTGATTACCGTGTTCGATTTGTGATTATGGAAGCTAAGGAAATCACGCAAAAGCTGGCATAGGATTGGTGACCAAAAGTTTTTTATCGCAAGATCCTTCGTACTTCGGAATATACATTAAAGCAGTTAACATAATTATATTCGAGTTAAAATGAAGACGAATTTAATTTTTATTCCTGATCAGCAGAAATTGTGTTTGGCTAAATCAATTTAAAACTTTTTCTATATACCTATTCTATAACCAGCAGTTGTATAAAAATAATAAAGTGAAATAAATCATGATGTGCATTTATCAACATCTAGCCCCCAGTTTTAAAGTACAGCCATACCAAATTAGATAATGACGTATATTTATTAAGAGTCAACCAAATGATAAATTGTTTATATTAAGTTACAGGTTGAATTAGGTTAAGCAACGATTAAAGAATGTGGGGTTGAGGATGAAATAAATGAATGACCGGATTTAAATAATCACGGAGTCATTAAACATTACTGAGTATTTTTGCGCGCTACTGCATCTCACCCGGGTGGGAGGTTGCTTTACGCCAGGGCCAAAAAAACAACAGTTTGATAGCGGGTCCACCTTGTAACGCAGAATTTTTAATGTCATAATATTATAAAGCATTGGTAGTGGGTCTATCAACGAGACTAGATAACTTCACACAAAAACCGAAGTCTAAACTAAATTCAGTCACGTTCACACAGTGAAAATTTGATATTTAAAACGCATTCGTTTTTTGTAATACCATTCTCACTAATGCAAATAGTTTTCGGACGATATAGCACCATAATTGCGCTCACGATTTACGATTTTTTGTTTTTCACGAAGTCCATCTTTATTCAAAGTCACATTTACACCTTACGAAAATATCATTATCAATTTTACAAAACGAGACCTAACTAGCTGCCCACGCCCGAGCGAGAAAGCGCAACAGGGCGGATGCAGTGGGCGCATCGACTGCCTCGATTGATTTCTTTTGTGTGCATTTCTCCCAGTGGTAGACTGACCCAGTAAAGGTGAGAGTCAATTATTTATCGCACAACTTCGGAGACCACGAAATGTAGCATGTACTGGTCAGGAGCATGAGGACTGGTTATTTATAAACACGAAAGTTACTTTTAAGTTTTATATTCAATATTAAGCGTGTTAACCAGAAAAGCAGTTATTTTTTTTTAATTAAAAAAATGTTGTTGCCATCCTAAATATAAATATGATATAAGTTTAATACGTATCATTAAGATCAATGAAAAACAGTCAACTGTGTGGTTGAACGATCACGTGATAAAATTACAACGATGCACAAACGTATGATTTATTAAAAAAAAATCTAAGACTTTGTCCAAGACCCAAAATTGCAAAAATATGCTTACTTTTTTTTGTTTATCTTCAAAAGTACACTGACCATAATTAATTTCTCCGACGAAAACTTTTACAAACTTCTTTATCAAACAAGCAACGATATCTGTACACAACACAAGACTTCCGCCTACAGCAATAATTTAATGATAACTGACCCAACCGCCCGGGCCGGCAGAGCAACAAGCTTGATGCAACGTCCTATAATTTATGTAGGTTACGTACTGATGCGCGCGCTGCATCTCGCCCGGCGGGACCCGGCAGGAGCCTGATCCGAGCGGGATGAAACACGCAACAGGGAGGTGCAGCGCGCGCATTGACTCTCAATCAATTATGCATCTCGCCCGGTAAAACACACTGACCCAGCCTAGCCTAGTCGAAAAGCGAAACAGAGAATGACGTCGAGAGTCTTAAACGCGAACCAAGTACAAGAAAAGTGAATGAAAAGCCAAGCTCAAGAAAAGTGCTTGGCTTGTATAGAACACTATAAGTATTGGAGCAAAAGCAAAGTATTCTAAATATTTTCATAAAAAAGAACCATGACATGTTTTTTTATAATTTTGGCATGGTCTTACTACTTGTAATTTGAGACACAGAAAGATCTGTTAACCCTACAGGTTAACAAATTAAGAGTGCGCTTCATGTTTTATTTAAAAAAATCGTAAACTTACTGCGACCCACTTGGGTTAAATATCGAATTGCAACGGTTCAAAAACAATAAAAAAAATTGGACTTCTGAAAACTCGTGGCTATTATTTCGTCCCCAACTAAGCAGAGGTTGAACTGTTGATTTTACGAATACTTAATAACGTATTTAGTGCCAAATTATAAGTACAATAAACAACCATGACTCGAGAACTAACACATCTATGCTCATAACCAGTTATAATTTGCATAATATTCATTCATGTATACTTTTCTCAATGATATTTATAGAATTAAACAACAAAAGGCATGCCATGTTAACTACAGGCGACTTTCATGCTGATGAAAGTCGCCTGATAGCTGTATCACATTGACCAGGCACCTGGGCGGGAAAGAACAACAGGGTAAATGCAGCGCACGTATCATATAACAAGCGCCTACTTATGCGTGCGCTGCATCTCACAAGAGCTGAGACAGACCGGCCCAAACAAAAGGCTCGACAGGAAGGATGATTTTTAAAGCCGAATTATGATTTTATTATACTGTTATTTTCAGCATTTAACTGCTAGAATTAGAAAAATTTTGACTGTAAAAGTAAATCCACTGGGTCCAAGTATTAGACAGGAGCACTTATCCCTAATTATGAAAGTAAAATATCACAAGTAAGTAACAATCATTATACACGACACGATAAGATCGATAAAAAACTATTTCAACTTTGAGGTTGAAAGATCATGTAAAATAAATATAAAGAGGAACTAAACGATTGCTTTATTTAATATGAAAAACATAAATCTAAAACCTTGCCAGCATCAATCTCATAAAATTACAAATAATGTTTTATTTATTTACCTTAAAATGTAAACTTACCATAATTTATTTTTCCAGCAAAAACTTTTACAACTTCTAGCTAAATATCGTACAAATTAAAACGTAATTATGTTTGCAATACATCACACAAGCAACGATTTCTGCACACACCATGACACTTCTGCCTGCAGCAATAATTTAATGGTAACTGACCCAGCCGTCCGGGCAGGAAAGCGCAACAAGCTTGATGCAATGTCCTATAATTTATGTAGGTTAGGTGATGCGCGCGCTGCATCTTGCCCGGCGAGACCCGGGGAGGAGACTAACCCGGGCGGGCCGAAACACGCAACAGGGAGGTGCAGCGCGCGCATCGACTCTCAATTAATTATTGAACAATGCATCTCGTCCGGTAAAATACTAGCCTAGTCGAAAAGCGAAACAGGGAATGACGTCAAGAGACTTAAAGGTGAACCAAATACAAGAAAAGTAAATGAAAAGTCTGACACAAGCAAAGTGAATGTCAAGAGCACTATTTTGAAGTTAGGATTGGAGCAAAAGCAAAGTATTCTGTACAATTTCTTATAGTCGGACTTTGATATGTTGTTTTTTTTGTTTTGGCATCGTCTTACAGCCTGCAATGTGGACAACAGAAATATTGCATGATTAATAAATTAAGAGTGGGCTACATATTCGATTTCAAACATTTAAAAATAAGGGCAAACCAAGTTACTGAATCTCGACTTTTCGATAATTTTTGTGCCAAGATCGAAATCGCAACGGTTCAATATAAATAAAAAATAAATACACTTTAGACAATTAGTGGAAATCATGTGGTCTCAAACTAAGCAGAGCTTGAACTGGTAATTTTACGAATACTAAAGTATTTAGTGCATAATCATAAGTACAATAAACAACCATGACTCGAGAACAAATAACATTTATACTCTAAACCATTGATAATTTGCATAATATTCTTCATGTTTATTTTCATTAAATACGCAGTAAAATAAATGTATTGATTTATCAATGGTATTTATAAAATTAAACAAAAAAAGGCACGCAATGTCTACTACAGGCGGCTTTCATCAGCTATCGCATTGACCAGACTTCTGGGCGGGAAATTGCAACAGGGTAAATGCAGCGCACGCAATAAAAACAAGCGACTACTTATGGGTGGGCTGCATCTCAGAAGAGCTCAGACAGATCGGCCGGAACAAAAGGCTCAACAGGAAGAATGATTTTTAGAGCCAAATTATGATTTTATTACACTGTTATTTTGAGCATTAAACTGATAGAATTAGAAAAATGTTTACTATAAAAGTAAATCTACTGGGTCCAAGTATTAGACAGGAGAACTAATTCCTAATTACAAACTTCTAAATAAAACTAGTTTTTACGGGTTAATGCACGAAACTTTATTTATTTATTGACGTTTCAAAATAAAACTTTGATTCTGACGACGTAGCCTGTAAAGGCTACGAAACGTCAATAAATAAATAAAGTTTCGTGCATTAACCCGTAAAAACTAGTTTTATTTAATGAGTGATGTGCGTGAAAAACAATATACAAACTTCTAGTTAAATATAATTCTTAAAAAATTAAAACAACGATCTCTGCACGCAACATGACACTTCCGCCTACAGCAATAATTTAATGGTAACTGACCCAGCCGCCCGGGCAGGAAAGCGCAACAAGCTT